CAGCCTCCCAAGGACTGGGACACAGGCCTGTGCCACTGTGCCTAGCAGTGTGCTCACCAACGATTTTGACTGTACCATTATCTCCTTCCTTCTTTTCTTCTCCCTTCCCCTCCTCTCTCCTTTCCTGTCCTTTCTTTTTCCCCAGAGATGGCTGGAGCTTTTGTGGCAGTGTTTTTACTAGCAATGTTTTATGAAGGACTCAAGATAGCCCGAGAGGGTCTGCTGCGAAAGTCTCAAGTCAGCATTCGCTACAATTCCATGCCTGTCCCAGGACCAAATGGAACCATCCTTATGGAGACACACAAAACTGTTGGGTAAGAAAATGAAACAGAGCCAAAGGAAAATTCTAAGGAGCTCTTACTAACGTAACAAAGCAGATATTCTTTCTTCCTGAGTTAATGATTCTATGTAACTTCAGAAGTTCCAGGTTGTGGGTTATGGGACTTGGGGTCCTGCAAAGGCACATGCACCTTTATTCTAAGTTGCAAGTGTTTGTGACTTTGAAAGAAGTTTAACAGCATCAAGTTTTTAAAATATTTGCTATATATTAATGGACATTTTAAGAATATATAATTAAGCTATAAAAGAATGGCAGAATGTAACTGATTCCTTTCTGTCAAAAGTTATATCTAGCCAGACATGATGTATGCCTGTGATCCCAGCACTTGAAGAAGGCTGGACAATCAGAATCAAGGTCATCCTTGGCTACACAGTGAGTTTGAGACCAGCTTGGGCTCATGAGAACCTGTCTCAAGGAGAATCAACAGTTTTCCTGTGCGAGCACGCAAGCAATTGAGGCAATGCTAAAAGCTGCAGCTGCTCTCCTGAGCTGCAGAGTCCCATGTCTGACTTTCCTCTCTGTTTACTCCCCAGGCAGCAGATGCTGAGCTTCCCCCACCTCCTGCAGACGGTGCTGCACATCATCCAGGTGGTCGTCAGCTACTTCCTCATGCTTATCTTCATGACCTACAATGGGTACCTGTGCATTGCAGTAGCAGCAGGGGCTGGGACAGGGTACTTCCTCTTCAGCTGGAAGAAGGCAGTGGTAGTGGACATCACAGAGCACTGCCATTAACATCAGACTCCACATGTGGCCTTACCAATCGCTGTAGGAAGCATCTTGGGACTGGAATATATGATTCCCTCTCCAGTCATCCCTTCTCTTTCCTGTCTCTTTATACACACACACCTACTGAATAGAGGCATAGTTGACAGTCTCTGAGTAGTGTTTTTTTCAGTAAGGTGAAACTGACTTTTCTCTTGAGAAGCCACCTCTGAGATGTCTTCTCCTTCATCATCCTGAGCCTTGTCTAATCTAGGTAGCTTCCCAGTTAATGACTTGGTTATCTGCTTCTTTTTACTTTTCTGTTTTGGGGTTTTTCTTTCTGTGCATTTTTGTTTTAAACATATAATATGTATCTTTGGTGGGTGGAGTTCTAGGTCAGTGATGGAAAGGGATTTTGACTTCAAACAAGGTTAAAGGCAATTAGGGAAATCTCACCCAACTGGAACTTAAATTTCACACTAGAAGATAAGCTCCAGTCTCAACTCAGTGAGTGGGAAACACACTGTGCCTTTCTCTAGGTGTGATGTGTTACACTGAAATTCTTGTCGTGTGTAGCGAGTGGTTAGGGACTAAATACAGGCCTAGAGTTTGTGGAGTATGTATTCTTCCTCACTCACCAACTTGTGTTCCCACTAAACATTTTGATTAAAATGAACTTGCCAATCAAAACAAAACAGGACAATCATTTTAAGACAACAGAAATAGAGATTGTTAAATAAAACTATTACTTTGACTCAGTACCTTAGTTTGTCCCAGCTGAACAAGAGTTGTATTGCTTTTATTCCTATTGTTGTTTTTGTGTGTCTCCTAAAACCAATGACTTTCAAACTTTAGAGTGCTTCAGAATCACCCAGAGGGCTTGTTAAGACCCTGCTTGGTGGACCTCAATCACAGAACCACCAAATCTGGCATTTCTAAATCCCTAGGTGATGTTTCTATTGACAGTCCAGAGGATTACCCTAAGAGTCTTTGCATTAAACTAGCAAAGTTGCACCTAGAAGAGACAGAGGGTGGGACTACCTGATATAAGGCATAAGCATCTGACTTGCTGGTTGGTAGGTGGTATCTCTTGGGCACATGCCACATCTAAATGTTGCTGGTCAATACTTAATCATTCCCCAAACATTTATTCAGTCCCAGATATCCTTTATGTGTACTCATACACAAACGTGTGTGGGATTCCAGCCAAAGTACACTTAGCATATATGAAGTCTCTATTCCTGACTTTTAAAGATCTGAGGGTCCTTGGAAGTCATTTCAAGGCCAAGAGACCTTTGATCTGCAATGTAAGTCAGCCAGTCAATAGGGCAGAAAAACAAAAACCCAGCTGTCTGGGTCATGTTCTGTCAATAGCCAGATTCTTCTCGATGTGCACTATGTGGGCCTCTTATCATCTGCTTGACCACCTTTATTATTTATGGGGATTTATGTAGATCACAGTGGCCAAACCTTTTTCTCAATAAAGAGTCCCAATGGATGTTCAGTCAATCTTTTGTCTATATGCAGGCTTGTTCCCAAACTACCTCTTTAAAGTGATTCTTCCTATGCTGGTCTTTAAGCCCTGCCCTCTTTGGTGCTAAATCCAGTTGTGCCTCAAAGCAGAGGAAACAAACCTGCTATCTTGTTGGCCCTTTGTCTTGAAGTTTGTACTTTCTCTGTGAGTGCCAATTAAATAGGGGAGAACAAGGTATGTGTATTTTGGTGGCTTTGAACCAAGAGGGAATTTAAGCCTATTGAATGGAGACTAAAAATCTAAGAAACCAACTTTAGAACTTTGCTTTTCTCATTCATTCCGCTGTGCTGGTTTTTAGCACTACACAGTGAATGACAGGTACGGACGGAGCCCAATATTAAGGTGCAAATAGCTTGCTGTCCTCTCAGAAGGCAAGGAAACCTGGGAGGATACAGAAACCACACTTCGTGTTGACCCTAGTGCTCTCTAGCAATCTCCAGATGAGCTACAATAAAACAACTTCCAGGGACTGAGATGCAGATCAGAGTGGATCCTTTACCTGATGTATGCTAGGCCCTGTGTTTAACCCGCAACACCCTAAAAATAAAGCATAAACTATCAGAAACAGGACCTTATCATTGAGAAGAAACAAGGCTAGTTAGGAAAAGGTGCTATGAATCTGAAATAAGAGAAACCTCACTTTGACATGGTTCTTTAGGGTAGCTTCAGGTTAGAAATAGTCTACCGCACAACCTAAACTTGAGATCCCTGAACTAGGTTGCTAGAGAATGTGGTTAGTGCAGAACAGAGGTAAGCTTAAGTCCCATCCTCTTGAACTTTAATTCCCAGCCTTTGTGTTTATTTTATCTTAAAGTCCCCTTTCTTCTGTGGGAAGACATCTGAATTTCTTTAGCCCCTGCCCTACTTTTCCCTTTCTGTCTTATCTCCCAGATAGCTTAAGATAGTATTTAAGATCTCTCTCAGCTTCCTGATGCATTAGGCACTGCTACTGCCGTGGTTATAATTACCTAACTAGAACTTGGCATTTACAAACCAGGTAGAGATCCCAAGTTTGCTTCAAGAATTTCTATAAAACTGGTGAAGGACTAGCTTCCCCAGAGTTACAGATCCTAGGTACTAACTCCAGTCCAAGACAGATGAACACTCAACACATTGCCCACACACAGAACCTCAAAAATCAACAATTTTCTTCACTACCCCAATGGCAGGGTTGTCCCAAACTCCCTTTCCTTATTAGAATCAAGAGTGGAGCAGGGTGTACATATCGTTTAACCTTGAGCCTGCCCTTTCCAGCCACTTCAGAAGATACATCTAAGTGACAAGTCTGCATTTGATGTAATGCCTTAATCACTAGGGTTACGTTCATGTTGACCGTTTCAGAGATTGTAAGCTCCCGGAGAGCAGGATTGCTGTAATGGGGATATTTTAAGTGTTGTGTGAAAGAGAACAAAATAAATATCTTGATTTTGTGATTATACATGTCTACAGAAAGTAGTGTCCAAATAAGCTTATCTTTTTGCAGTCTCGGGAGATTTCCATGGGTTCTAGGATGTCTTCAATGTCATGGCCTTGGTCCCATCTCACTCTACTGAAAAAGCTGAGCTAGTGCCTGCTAGATCAACATGATCTCACGCACAGAACATGGTATCTTCATGAAGCTACAAGTTCTCAGTATAGGAGGGATTCTTTGTTCAAAAGCTAACATTTGCCTCCTTTCATCCATAATTCATAATTCGTGTATGTATGCCACTAGGCAGGAGCACTGGGCTTCCACGAGGTTCACTGCCGAACTTCGCCTATTCCTGTAGTAGTGGCAAAGTGTTGCTGTTATTAGTCTTGCCACTGGCCCCATAGGGCATCATTATTTGCCACTCCTGCAATTTTTCAGTATGCTGTGATAAACATGGCCTTTGGGGACAGTGGGCTCAAATCTGGGCTTTACTACTCAGGAACACCTATTATAACCATTTCTTAGTTTTCTTGTTATAAAAAGGCAGCTGACCTCAGCGGTTAAAAGCACTGACTGCTCTTCCAGAGAACCTGGGTTCAATTCACAACTGTCTGCAACTCCTGTTCCAGGGGATCCGACACCCTCACATATATGCAGTCAAATGCCAATGTACAGAAATAAAAATAAATTTAAAAAAATAAGGCAGTTGAAAGCTGGAGAGATGACTCAGAGGTTAAGAGCACTGGCTGCTCTTCCATAGGGTCCTGAGGTCAATTCCCAGCAACCACATGATGGTTCATAACCATCTTTAATGACTTCTGGTGTCCTCTTTTGGCATGCAGGCAAAACACTGTATACCTAATAAATCTTAAAAAGAAAAAAGGCAGTTGATAGTCAGGTATGGTGATGCGTACCTGCCATTCTAGTATTTGGCAGATTGAGGCAGGAAGATCTAGTGAAAGGTCTTCAGTTTGGGGGTTCAAGGGAACACAAGGGGATTTTCCTTTTGGGCAAGAAGTTTATTAAGAATTATTAACATCATAAAAATACAGATAGCAGCATGACAGATTGTGAGAGCTTAGGCCCAACACTAGTCAGTCTATCTCTGATTTTTTGTGGCAGGGAGAAGGGAGGGAATTCTAAAGAAAGGTGTCACTCAAATATAGGGGAAGTGAGGAAGGACACATAAAGGTGGCAGATATGCCCCACCAGAAGCCCTCTGCCATGGAGTCCCACACCTGGGCATTGTGTTTACAGATGCTCCAAACCATGTCTGTCTCCCTATAGCAGCAGGAATCTCTGAACCAGCTATGAAAATGGTGATGAAGAGGGCTGAAGAGGGACATAATTTGAGCAGTGTCTGGCCTGGGATTCTAATACAATGAGAGACGCTGTTACAAAAATAAATGGCTATGGGTGTAGCTCAGTGGCTGAGTGCTTGCCTAATGTAGTTTTCTAAGCTCTGGGTTCAATCCCTAACAGGCCTAGCATGTGCATTCACATACACACAAAGGAGGAGTAGCACCTATTTAAATTAAGAGCAATACAGATAAGGCACCCAAACCAGACAGGCATCCAAGCCATGTTACATTTTTACTGTCTACTGATTATATTATCCCTGAGGGCTTCAGAAAAATCAAAGGTCTGAATAAGGTCAGTGTCTCTACGAACACCTGACTTAACCTCCTAGGTGTTGGTAATCCAGAAAGGAACAGATCCTAAGGAACACAGAATTAATACATATAATGTAGGTGTGCCCAGAGATTAGCAACTGCAGTGAGTCCTGCTCTACTGATGAGTAACTGTCTCATTCTGCTAATAAGATAACATGGAAATTTTTGGAAACCTAAAAATAGAAAAATCTCTACCCCACACACTGATTCCTTTTTTTAAAATTTATTCATTTATTGTGTATAGTGTTCTATCTGCATGTATGCCTGCATGCCAGAAGAGGGCACCAGATCTTATTATAGTTTTGGTTTTTTGTGGGTTTTTTTTTTTATATTATTATTGTTATTGTTGAGCCACCATATGGTTACTGTGAATTGAACTCAGGACCTGCAAGAGCAACCAGTGCTCTTAACCTCTGAGCTATCTCTCCAGCCCCCACACACTGCTTTCTTAAAGACTTAGCCAAGAACCCTAAGAAAGCAACATAGTTAAGGCCATTTAGAAGCACAGGCTTGGAAAGCAAACTGTTCGGATTCAAATCTACCTACCACTTCATGGCTGAGCTCTGGTTCACTTCCTGCAAACTCAGAATGGTGTGCCCTCTCCAGAACTGAAGATGTCTTCATGAATCACTCAGGACTGCCTTACACAGCCCTCTGCATATCCGCTATTAGTACAAAAGGCAAGGCATGCAGGGAGCATGAAACTACTAGGGAATTGCAGCAGAGGACTGAAGCGGGCGGAGTGTCTCCTTTGCCCATCTCTAAACTTTGCAGGCTGCAGTAACATGAGTCTTCTATCTATAGCCTGTTTTCGGAGTCTTATTATTTTCTACACAGTAAGATAACAGGACTTAGGGGTCATCAATAAAACTGGAATAAAAGTTTTGTAAAAAAGCTTGGAGCAGGAAGAGGAAACTACACATCCCCTTCTATCTCTACCTTGCTAACACATCACTCACGAACTATCCGAAAGCCTGGGTAAAACCCAGCTAAGGAGTCTCTTTGAAACTTGATTCCAGATGTTGTAGCTTCCACAGCTGATGGCTCTGTCCCTGGATTTTATGGTGAAAATAGAGCATGGTAAAAAGTACCAAGATTGGCTGTCAGATGGGTTCCTGCTGCAAGAGTTACACAAGTCCCAAGCAGAATAGAACGCCTTTCCTGTTAGAGCTGTTTCCCTCACTGTGTGAAGACTTCCTCTAAGTGGATTTGACTCTCACAGTGTCTTCATTAGAATCCAATCTCCATGAGGCAGGGATCTTAGTTTGATTTTTTGACATTTTGAAACAGGGTTTCACTCTGTAGCCCAGACTAGCCTCCAGCTCATGAGACTCCACCTCAGCCTCCCAAGTGCTAGATTACAGCTGGGAGCTGTTGCTCAAAGTACTGTCAGCAGTCACCAAATACTGAATAGATGAGTTAAGTGAAAGTCCAAGGGATCAACTGCAAGTGTTCTGGGTTTGGGGTTTTTTGTAAAGGCAAAGGAGAATGACATCACTCAGTAGCGGTTAATTGGCAGAGGTAGGGATTAGCAGGGCTACTACTTAAGGATGTCTCCCATTTTTCCAAAAATATATTTATTTTTAAAAACAAAAATCAGGTAAGCTTTCCGCAGTTCAATATTCCAGGGAAAAGCCAGAATTTGGCTTCCAGCTTATTAGAAAGGTTGAACAGCAATGATTTCACACAGAAGTTATTTCTCCCTACAGGAGAGAGAAAGCATTCTCCTTGGTTGTACACACTTAATTCTCTAAATCTGGTTATATTTCTACCATCATTGTATTCTGTCCCAGAGGTCTGGCATGCAAGAGAATTCATCTCTAAAATTCAAAGTTTCCAAACTGAGATGTGCGGTTGTTAGGCTTGAGTTGGGGTTTATAACCAATTCGATCATTAATCATCTGTTCCCGGCTCTTGGGGTCACTGCTGAGCCCAGCAGCTCCTTCTCCATCACTTGTTCCTACACCTTCCACATCTTCCTTCTGTTTCTTACGGGTCTGAAAGTATTAAAAAAATAAATAAATAAACAAATCAGGATTTAGCACAACATTCTTTCAACTAGCAAATGTTTAGCTAGCATTTACCTGTACTAGGTATTGGGTAAGAGCCAGGGTTAGGGGCTAATAAACAACAAGCTGCAAGTTTAGGATGATTATAAGGATACAGACGTGCAACTTTAGATGTAACCCTACGTCACAGTCTAGAAGGCAAATGAACATGCAGACCTTTACTCATAGCATAGAGGGCTCAGGGTTATAATGGGGATGCCCACGATGCCAAAAAACACAAAAAATGGGGGCGAGGAATTTAGAGCACGGAACAAAGGCCCAGCAAGAAGCTGCAATTGGAGATAGCAGATATGGGCAACTAAGGTATTTCAGCAAATTATTACTAATGAGAACAAGTGAAAAATGACATGACTCTTAGTCACCAAAACCCACAACCTGACTGACTGGCTCCACACAACTACAGCTAATACAAGGAGAGATTATGCTATCTTCTCAATAGGTCTGAGTTGGGGGGCTTCCATTTCACTTTCAAATTAATTACCTACTTATTGGTGACTTTAGGAATTAAATCCAAGGCCTCATGAATGGCAGGCAAGCAATCTACCACCAAACTATATCCCAGCTCCTGGTTTAGTTTTGGTTTGAATTTTTTTTTTTTAATTTCCTATTTATTCTTGGTACTACTACTGCAACTCACTAAGTAATAATTCTAATGGAGAAAAAGAAAATCTACAGACAGGAGGTGGTGGAGCACGCCTTTAATCCCAGCACTTAGGAGGCAGAGGCAGGTGGATGAAGCCAGCCTGGTCTCCCAGAGTTACAGGACAGCAAGGGCTACACAGAGAAACACTGTCTCCAAAAAGCAAAGAAAAAAAAATTTTTTTTTAAACCTTCCTGTTATAGGTGTTACTCCCTCTGATTTCCTAGAGTTTCTTTAAGGCATTTGGCTTGACTGTCCCTAAGTAACCTATAGTTCTCCTGACGACTGTCTTTCCTAAGAATGGAAGTCCTTCTCTGTGTTTAGAACGCTTCTCCTTGCCAGGTGTGGTGGTGGGAAAGCAGCAGCAGGCAGGTCTCTGAGTTGGAGGCCAGGCTGATCTATACAGTTCCAAGACAGCCAGCACTATACAGAGAAATCCCGTCTTTAAAAGCCAAACAAAACAGAACTCTGTTACTGGACTATTTTTCAAGGCCTGCCTGGGCTACATGGTGAAGCCTTATCTCCAAAAGAATGAAGCTACATCTCCACCACCATCTATCTGCCTGCATTTCCTTAACTAAAATAGCCTAGTTCTTGGGTCTATGATTTCCAAAGCCATGACAGTTCTAATCAGGACTGTAATAATGCCATTGCCAAATTCCCTTCATTGTAGCCACCATACCATATTTAGCTGAACATTGTGGAACACAAATACCCTCACACAATTAATATACATAATAATAAATAAAATTGCGTGGGTGTATTGAACTTCCTGTTACTCTCGAGTTAGCCAACACTACAAAGAAGTAACATAAGACGTTTACCCCAAAAACCTTTATGAAAACTACTTCAAAGAAGCAAAGGAATCTCTCAGTATACTCAGCTGGAATGAAGTCATTTAAAAAGTTGCATGTTATGACAACCACAACCTGTTCCAGTACCTAGACTTACGGAGGTGTAAACAACGTCAGTAAAATTAGAATGCCAGGGAGTGGAGTGGCAAGATGACTCAACAGTTAAGAACGAGCATCTGCTGCTCTTGCAAAGAGCCCAGACTTAGTTCCCGGCACCCACATGGCTGCTCACAACTTGTTCCAAGGGCTCTGACAGCCTCTTCTGGCCTCCCATGGAGGCTGCATACACACAGCACAGATACATATATGTAGTCAAAACATTCATAAATATTTGTTAAAAATAAAGACCAGAGCCAGTCACAGGAGTGCACAATTATAATGTTAGTACTTGAGAGACAGGGCCAAGAGAGGATGGAAAGCCTGGGCTACATAACTAAACAAGGGAGGGAGGGACAGAGGAAGAGCCACCCTTTCTACTTTTTCATTTTAATTCATTGCAAGAATGTCCTCCTTCCTAAGCTGATTGAAAAGACACCAAACCCACTACCTTTAGTGGAAAGGCCAACTCAACAATTAGCTGACTCTGCAGAGTCAAAGTCCATTATGCCCGCATTTTATGATTCCTTACACTAACGTTTAAACCACACTTTTGAAACTCATCCTTTTGGACCTGATGATGCATGCCCATAATCCCAGCACTCAGGAATCTGAGGCAGAAGGTCACAGCGAGTTCCAGACCACTTTGGGCCAGTGAGAACCTATCTCAAAAACAAACAAAACCTTAGTAATATACTACCAATGACTTGTTAAAAAGCAAAAAAAAAAAAAAAAAAAAAATTGTGGACTAGCAAGATCACTCAGTAAGTAAAGGCACTTCCTGACAAGCCTTTGAGTCTGACTTCAATCCCAAGAATAAACATGCTGAAAGAAGAGAAATAATTCCTGTGTGATATGTTGTAGCTGCCACATGTTCCAAGAGGATATTGATATTCTCTCTCTCTCTCTCTCTCTCTCTCTCTTTCTTGATCTTTGTCTTTCTCTGTCTCTGTCTCTCTCACACACACACACTCACACACATACACAACAAAAGCTGATGACACTTTGGGGACACTGTAGTTGCTAGGATGAAGAGCAAGAAAAACCTACATTATCAATCTTCATATGAACAATGAAGCCAGTCACATTCTGGGAACACGCAGATGTAAAGCCCCTGTCATATAAAGTACCTCCTAGAGTGACAAACACAAACAGGCTCATAGCGAGCCCTCTGGGAGGAGCCCAGAGTTTAATATACCAATCCAGCCTTCAAGGAGCATCCTGCCCAGCTCAAGAGAACAACAGAAAGCAGTGGCACGTAGGAGACGTCAGCACAGGATGGTAAGTGACTTAACCCTGCTAGGGGCTGGAAGGGCCAAGATGGGGAGGAATTAGCCTGATGAAGGGATAGGGCACGTCAGGCAAAGGCAACAGTGTACCTAGCACTGAGATTAAAGATAACTTGACAGATAAAGTGGAGAGACAGTAAGGACCTGGTCCCAAAGGACCTCATGTACCATGCTTAGGAAATTTGGACTTTCTCCTGAAGGCATTGAAGAACTTTTCTTTTTTTTTTCCAGACAGGGTTTCTTTGTGAACAGCCCTGGAACTTGCTCTATAGACCAAGCTGGCCTCAAATTCACAGAACTCTGTAATAGAAGTTGTGGTTTCTTTAAAAACTTATGTTATATAAATATGTTTTTGTTTTAATCCCAAGTGTGGGATTTTAGTTTGGGCTTTAGTTTGTCCATAGCTGGTAACTGCCTCCTGTAGGGCGTGGTCTTTGCCAGCTGGTAATGGCCTGCCTCTTGTGGCAGACAGGAGCGTGGCATGGTCTAGGACTCTGAGGGCTATATACAGGAGAGCCCAGAAAGAGAAAGTGTAGCAATTTGGAGAGACCAGAGAAGGACCATGCTTTGGGGCGCAGGAGCTTGGAGGAGAGAGATGGAGGAGACTGCTTGCTGAGCTTGCTGTTGAAAGATTGGTATAGCCCCCAAAATAACCCATTGACCCTAAAAAGTCAGGAAAAGTAAAGGGATCTGGGGCCCCCCTCTCTTACCTAGGGTTAAAGGGTTGGTGGAAGGGAGGGAGAGGCCTTAACTCCCCAAACATAAAAGAGTTTAAAAATGCACTTCCTACCTCTGGCTCTAAGGAATTTATTCTTATTAATTGATAACTATTATAAAAAAAGGGACAGAGGGGAAAGGGAGAGACATTACCCTTAGACTACTTCCTGCTGATTAGGGGTGTTGAGTTCCTTGGGGCAGGTTTAATCTTTGCCTTCAGGATAACTAACTTTCTTGGGTTTTTTTTTTTTTTTTCTTTCCACATGACTACTTAACAAACTTGCGACCAACAACCTGCAGCCTACCAACAGCCCCCTAATTCTCCAGGCCCTAGCATTTATATACCCTCTGAAAAGTCCCCAGAACTCCAAATGTCACACAATCACAGAGACTGCCAACAGCTGGCAAAATCATGTGCCTGGTAGAGGATGAGGCAAATCATAGTCAGCTGCTGTGGACAATCTGATGCAGCCCCATATCCCACACCTGGGATTAAAACAAAAACATATACTATTTCTGTGTTTTGAAAGAAACTAAAATTTTCACTACAGGGGGGAAAAATAATGGTAACTCCAAGTTATGACAAATGCTAATAGGCTGGGATGTTGCTCAGTTGGTAGAATGTCTGGCAAGCTCAAAACTGAGACTAGATAAATCACAGGCCTAGGAAAAGCCTAAGACAATTCTACTAAAGGAACATCACACAAAATGAACTCAATGGTACTTCTGTGGACTTTTTGTTTCTGGGTTTGAGGATTTGTTTTGTTTGTGAAAGAGAGAAAAAGAACATAAAGTTGGGTGGGTAAGGAGGTAGGAAGGACCTGGGAGGAATGTGGATGGAGAATCATGATCAAAGTATATGAAAAAAATAATAAATAAATAAATAAAATAGCACTATAAATAGGATCATTTACTGTTGTTCCAGGCCAACATGTTCTCTGCTGTGACAGTTACAGGAAATTCATTTTTGTTTTGAGATGTCTATGAAGCATCCAAATAGATTTCAAAAAAGCTGCTGGTGGAATCTGAGGTTCAGAAGGTAATTTGTCTGAAATATTCCCTGAGAATCAGAAAGTGAATTCATACCTCCAAGTCCTTTCGAATGCTCTCAAACTCTTCAATGTCATCAAGCTTGAGCTCCAGGCGTGTTGGTTTTCGTCGCAGCATACTGAAATCAACACTAGGAGCCAGATCCAATGAGCTATGGGCTGTTTAAAATGGCAAAAATGGATAAGCTTTGGGTGCGAAGTCTCAGCTACAAATAGATGAATCTGTAAATACAAACAATAAAATGAATGGGACATTAATTCATTTAGGCTTCAAAATCCTTGGGGGTTGAGACAGGGTTTCTCTGTGTAGCCTTGGCTTTCCTGGACTCGCTTTGTAGACTAAGCTGGCCTTGAACTCACAGCAATCTGCCTGCCTCTGCCTCCCTGAGGATTAAAGGCATCAGCCACCAAGCCCAGCTCCGGCTTCAAAATCTTTAGGCATCTGTTTATTGCTGGAGCTAAAGAGCTGGTTAAGAGCATACACTGCTCTTGCAGAGGCCACAAGTTCGATCGCCAGCTCATCACTATCTGTAACTCCAGCTTCAGTGAAGCAGATGCCTATGGCTCTTGTATATCTGCACTCACATACCTGCACACACAAAGGTAAAAATAAAATAAAATCTTTTAAAACAAAACCCAGCAAGTTGCCAGCAGAGAATATAGGCAGCAATCCTCTTTTTTTTTTTTTTTTTTAACACTTTTTGAAATTTTTTGTTCAAAATCTTGGGGATACTGATAAAAACAGCACAGAAACTATTCCCTATCCAGAGTTTTGAGGTCAGAAACCAAGCTTGGGGCCCCAGACTCAGGTACCGAGACCCTTCCAGCTGTGGGTTCCCAATCAAGACACCCCACAATCACTTTCATCTTGTGCTCCAATACCCTCCAAAGACATGCACTAGCTAAAAGGAACCAGCTGAGTGCAATGCACATGACTACAGTCTCAACTTCTTGGGGTCACTTGGACCCAGAACTTAAAGGATAGCCAGAGAAACTCTGGGAGACCCTGTCTCAAAAAAAAAAACAGACAAGAAACAAAAGGGACAAAGTTAGGAGTTAAGGAGATGACTGAGAAAGGACACTTCCTGCCCAGGCCTGTGGATCTGACTTCAAATCCCCAACACCCACATAAAAAGCCAGGTGGTGGTAGCCATGCCTTTAATCCCCAGCACAGAGGCAGTCTGTGCTGCTGTGAGTTCAAGGTCAGCCTAGTCTACAGACAAGAGTTCCCTGTCTCAAAATAAAAAAAAACAATAATAAGAAAAAGTGAGGCATGGTCTTATGGGGGCCTGTAACCCCTGAGCTATGGAGAAATGGAAGAGTTCTGGGTTGGGGTTTGCTAGCTATCAGCTTGGCTCTGGAGATATCCTGTCTCAAGGAGTAAGACAGAGGGGCAACATCCTCTAGCCTCAAGGTATACACGCATGCGAACATATCACACTTGCTCATGCAAGTGTAGTTAGCGGAAAATGAACAACCCAAAGTTCAATCTGCTTTCTATAAACATCATCAGAGACTGTGATTATTCCTGGATGCTAAAATCAGCTGGCTTAAATCTTTTGAAAACTAAACTTACTAATTCACAGGATTATCTGCAGGATCTAAGCAGTCCTAAATGAGTATGTCATTCATTAATCAGATGCTTCCTGTGCAGAGCTGTAAGAGTTTAAAGTCACTGTTGCAACCTGTGAGAAAAACAGAAAACAGACTATGCTATCTAGTGAGGAGGGTCCTTCAACAGCACTACATAAATATTTAGCCCAGGCTGGGTTGCACACAAGTAGCTAGGGCTCTCAACTCTCTGTGGGAAAGGGTGTCTTAGTGAATTTGAAGGGTAGGCAGACAGACCAGTAAGGCCACAGAAGTTCAAAATCATTTCATATGGAGAAGGAATGCTTATGTTAACAAAGCCCATGTTTGATTTAGAACCCCAAGCTGGCAGCACTCCGGAGAGTGGGCCCTGTACCTCACCTGGGCAGTATAGCAGTAGAGCTGGCCCGGGTGGTAAAGGCATGGGTGAGCCAGCCCCAAGAATATGAGAACAGAGAGCTGATCCTGCCCCTTGACTGCAGTGGAGGTGGGTGTCGGGAGTTAGTCTGTTGATGGTATCTTTTAATAGGATGGGCCAGCTGGAGCAGTGTTGGAGAGCTCACCCCGGTTAGTGCGGATGGAGGAGAGCTGGCAGGCTGACTAACTCAGCTATCTCCCAGGCACAGATCCAGGGCTTTGAGTTGGCAAAAGGGCCCGTTCTGCAGATCCAAAGCGGCGGAATCTCCATGACACAGAGCAACAACAGGATGTCTTCGAGCAGTCCCAGTGAGGATCCAGTATAGTGTAGCAGAAGCCAGAGGCCTTCAAACAGACCCATGACTCATTGCTGTGAGCATTTGCAAGTAAAGAGGTGCGGCAAAAAAAAGTGTAGTGGGTGACACATTACAGCTTCCACAACAATTTTATCTTATTTTATTTTATTTTGGGGGAGAGGTTGCAAGGGCAGAGAGTGGATACAACGGGACAGGGAGATGAGTGGGATCACAACGCATGGTGTGAAATTCACAAAGGATGGATCATTCTCCTGGACACCAGGGTAATGAGGCCGACCTGGAATTTCCTGAGTTCCCGGCGCGAACCACCCCGTGCCCCATTCCTGCCCCATTCACCACGTGGGTCCCGGAGATGGGTCCCAGGCTTGGCGGTAGCTCGAGTGGTCAAGCAGCCCAGATGTTATTCTCACATTCGTAGATGAGTGTTGCCGTCAGCCTTGGTCAGAGAAGCTCTGTGGTGGGCAACTGGTAAACTTACGCAGAATCGGGCCACCAGAGCAAGACCCACACACCACTGGGCTCCTCCACCTTCCCTCAAGGGCAGTGAGGGGCTCGGATGGCCCTGCCCCTCCCTGGAGATCTATTGGCAGTTGCTGGGAGAAGGCATTCTTCAGTGGTGTAGCCACTGGCAGGTAAATTGGCCCCGTTCAAGGAAATAACCCAAATCCAGCCAGGCTTACGCAAACAACCTTAGATAAATGCCATGGGCCAGAAGGAAAAAGATGTGAAAGTAGGGAGGAGTCCGGTGGGAAGGGGAAGGGATAACAGAAAAAGGGGGGAAATATGATCAAAGTACATTCTACATGTGTGTATGTGCGTGAAATTATAGAATAAAAAATAATATGATGAAAAAAAAGAAATTCACAAAGGATCAATATAATTTAAAAAAAAAAACTAAGCTGAGCTTAGTACCTGTTGCAGGTATCATCTTTCTATCTTCCACAGTATCCATAATTATCAGACAGTAAATATTGGAGTAAACTGAGCCATCCAAATAGAAAAAATGAAATACCTTTTCTTACGTTCTAGGTTCTTCTATTGGTTTTTTTTTCCACTTTAGTAACTTTAAAACTCTTTTGCTTTTTTTTTTAAATTATTGTATTTAGTTATTTATTGACATTTCAAATGGTTTATTCTAAATCAGACACTACCTTCCACCAGATCCCTAAGTACAGAAATAGAAGCGAATGGGAAATGAAGAAACACTTAGTTCTACTAGTGTACAACGGAAAGCCTCACCACTAGAGAGCAACGCTGAGCACAGGTTACAAGCGCGGCTCTCCTCCACCCGACACAGGGATTCTACTACTCTATGGCTCCAGAGGATGGATTACCTTCTTTTCTCACCAGAAGTTATTTTCTGGTCTGTTGTCACGTGACTTGAATGACTTCAGAGAATCAGTTCCTAGGGCACAACGTGGCGTTTGGTAAGGACTCGAAGAGAAGTACTCCTCTAATTGTAGTTCTTCGGGGAAGGGCTTTAAGAGTGGAAGAATGTCTGTTCAGCTCAGCAAACACAAATATTCTGGCAATCCCCACAATTTTCACGTAAGAATACAAACTTTATCTCTGATGGCCTAGCAAGAGCTGCTGGTATGCACTCTATCTGGCGCCTCCCTGGACGCTTTATTTCCAAGAGCAGGCTGTAGACAAGAAAACCAACCAACCAGGCCGCAGCTCCTCCACCACGTCAATACTTTAGCCTTAGAAGGCTCTTCGAGTGTAATGTCTTCTTGAAGCCCAAATTCACTACGAAGCCACCCTGTCACGAGGAGCCCCGGGAGGACCCCCGTCGTAGACCTCAGTTCTCTTTCCCAGCTCCAAAGCTGCACTAAGTTTAGGGAGAGATTTTCACGGCAACACAGCCCTCGGCTTCGAAACGGCAGAGGGCCTCCGGGAGAGTAGAGACCCTCGGTTCGCTCCAGACTACAGTCGCGATCCGCGAACCTACCTCTTTTCAGGCCTCTGCGGCTTCCTAGAAGCTCAACTCCCACCACGACGCCATTGCTGCGCGGACCGAACTACACTTCCCAGGCTGCTCTGCCCCTCTCTTCCCACACCACTCTTCTCCCGAGAGCTTGTGCCCGACGCTCCGTGAGACCACGGCCCTGGACGCCAGCCGACCCTTGGCAACTACGACTCCCAAGGTACTTCGCGCCTCCCAGAGCACGGAGTACGATCCTGATACGTTTCCGGCCGGTGACGCACTTCCACTTCGCTAGGCGCGCGGTGGACGGTCTGAAAGGAACAGCGCGGATTTGGCTACGGTCTCGCGGCTCGGGAGCCCGGAATGGCCTCCTCACGAGCTTCGTCCACGGTACGGAACTCCGGATCGCAGTTCAGGCCTGCCTCTCCCAGAGAGGGCGGCATTTCCGTGGGAAGGGGCCGTTACCTTGCGGGTCAAGGCTGTGGAAGAGGAGGAAGGACCTGTGGTGCGGTGCTTAGCAGCCTTTTCCAGATTCCTAAACGCCTTCGTATGCTGCATCTCATTTTGCACCGCTTTCAGTAAGCCCTGAGCAGTGAACACTTTTCCTGACTGCTCCAAAACACGGTGCTTTGAAATCGGGATGTGACTTGACTTAAACTGTATGACTCGTACTTAGATGAGGCCTCCTAACTTCTAATAGGCTCTGAAAGTATTTGGAAGTAGTTGAAATGTGTATTCCACTAACATTGTTACTTGGTGTACCTAAAACCGCCCAGATTGTTGGTTGTTCTTGCTATTTGCCCAGTGGTGAGCAGTTATTTTCGTAAAATCGGAGATTGCATTTCCAGTACAATCAAGTAAACGGATTCCAAAACAAACCAGACACATCAGACAGAAATTGGTTAGTTGTATTTGTGTGCCAAACTTAACAGGAGCCTAAAACTCACACAGTCAGTTTCAACCTTGGCCTTTCGTTTTTGGAGGGAATAAAATGAAAGCTCAGCATTAGATTTAGTCTTTTAGAAAGCATGGTTTACTAGGATTAAGCCCTATTCTGGGTCTTTGTTTAACAGGCAACCAAAACCAAAGCACCTGATGATTTAGTCGCTCCTGTTGTGAAGAAACCACACATCTATTATGGAAGCTTGGAAGAGAAAGAGAGGGAACGACTGGCCAAAGGAGAGTCTGGGATTTTGGGAAAAGAAGGACTCAAAGCAGGCATTGAAGCAGGAAATATAAATATAACCTCTGGTAAGATGCAAATTGCAAATCTTCTTCTTTTTTTTTTTTTTTTTAATGGGACCTGGAATCTAACCCAGTGTGTTTGGCATGCTACCCAAGTGGTCCACCACCGAAACACACAGCCCCATCCTCTGGCTAGTCTCTTGCCTTTGAACTCTTACTCTTCTTGCCTCCTCCCAGATACTAGAATCAGGCGGACACTCACTCCCATGCACCACTGATGATTCAGTTTTCTGATGAACACCTTCCCAAACCACATAATGTTGTGGTTTATTAATATTTATTATTGATTTATCTTTTACTAAACCAGCTGTATAACCAAATCACCACGCAGAGACTAGGATTTAGTTAATTAACCTAGAGCACAATGCAGGGCAATAGTTACTCCATCCTAAACCTTCAAGCCCGCATAGTTTCCTAGCATTCAGATTTTACCCATTATACTTGCTTTTTTTAGTCATATCTTGGGTCCAGTTCATTCCTCCTCGTGGTTCCAAGTCCTGTCCTGCCGACCTCTACTCCTGCCCTGCTGACCTCCACTCCTGCCCTGCCCACTCACTTCCTTCTCCTCCCCTCCAGACCAGGATGTCCCACCCTATATTCCCCGTTGCACAGCAATGGCTGGTTGTTTTATTGACAACACAGAGAACAAATAGTGGCATGTTTACACAAACTTGAGACAGGTGATGCTTAGAATGCAATGTCTGGATTGAAACCAAATAATGGCATAAAGAAATCAGCATTTGAATTAACAAGGGTACATTCCACAAGAATATTATACCAACAACATAACATTAGGTTTATAGGGTCAAAACCTTCGATTGGTCTAGGGAGCTAGTTCAGGTGGTAAAAAGTTTGCTGTGCAACCATTAGGACCTGAGATTGATTGTAGAGGAATTTTAATTCAGACCATGGCTGCTCTGGCAAGAGATCACATCCAAAGACCTAGGTCTGTGTGATCTGGCTGGAATACAAACATAACTTTAATCCAGGAGACAGGTAATCTGAGTTCAAGGCCAGACTGTTACAGAGCAAGTTTCAGGTAAAGAAAAGCTTAGGTCCAGGCATGATGGTACACGCCTTTAATCCCAAACAATGAAGGTAAAGTTTGTAGAAGAAAGCACCCATGTTTGAAAGTGATGTCTAATTGGGTGGCAGAAATAGTGAAAGATCTGAAAAAATAGGATTCTCTTCTCATGGGAGGAGAAGAAAGAGAAGCTAGGGCAATGCTAGCAGAGGCAGTCTTACCTGGAGAGGTGGTTTTTTGTTTTTGTTTTGTTTTGTTTTTTGTTGTTTTTTTGGTCTGGTTGGTTTTTTTGTTTGTTTTAAGATGTATTTATTATATATACAGTGTTCTGTTGGCATGTATGCCTGCAGGCCAGAAGAGGGCACCAGATTTTGTTATAGATGGTTGTGAGCCACCATGTGTTTGCTGGGACTCAGGACCTTTGGAAGGACAGTCAGTGTTCTTAACCTCAGAGCCATTTCTCTACCCCTTACTGGAAGAGTTTTACAGAGAGAGAATGAGAGAACAAGCTAGACACAGGTGAAGACAGAGGAGCCAGATTAGAACAGATTGTTGGCATTAGTTTGAGGCCAAGCGAAGCAATTCAGAGGCCCAGAGGAAAGCCAGATTGAGTAAGTTAGCTGAAAGAGGTGTTTGAGCTGAGTTGAGCCAGCCAGCCCAGAGCTCAGTAAGAACAAGTAAAGGTGAGCTTATTAAGTTGTAAGTCTCAGAGACTGAAAACATTCTGGGCATAGGTTAGATTGTACAGAGGCTAGAAGCTTCCAGGACTAGGCCTAGGTTAGCAGAGACAGTAATCCTCTAAAACAACAATTGAAACAGCTGAATAAGTTACTTTACAGTGGATCCCCAGAAACTAAGTTTGGTTTTGTTTTTGTTTTTGTTTTTTTTTTTTAAACAAACTGACTATGGTACCTACTTGGAATCCCCAGTGTTGGGAAGACAGACTAACTTAACACATGCAGCCTACCTTTCTGCTCTGACTGTTGGGTCTATGACTTTGCCTACTTGGCCATCATCCAGTGAGGGTTTGCTTTGTTTTGTTGTTGTTTTTGTTTGTAACATTTTATGCAGTCCCTTGCAGGAAGTACTGGTAATCTCTGCAAATTTCTTCAGTGAATATTTGGGTTCATCAGTTGTATTTGTCTTTGGAAGATGTAACCTAGTTCTGGCATTGATGTGTAACTGTTTGTAATATTCTCACTTTTATTTTTCTAGTTTTTGTTTGTTTGTGCTTTTGTTTTTCTTTGGTTTAGAGACAGGGTTTCTCTGTGTAGCCATGGTTGTCCTAGAACTCACAGAAATTAGCCTGCCTCTACCTCTAGACTGCTGGGATTAAAGGTGTGTGCCACCACTGCCTGGCTAATTTAAGTAAGAAATTATGATTTTTTTTTTAACTTTTTTTTTTTTAGAAAGAAATAAAAAAGCTTCCAGTGCAGAAAGGGCTTTGTGTGCTTCTTACTGACCTTTCACACACTTTTCCCTACATACATATACTGTTCTTAACTGTCTCTAAACTTGTCTTTATTCCCATATACCTCCTTTTTTCATCCAGATGTGTGTGTTGTGGGTTTTAAAACTAGTCACTAAAGTATCCAAAAAGCCAGTGGTCACAGGAATCTTTTTCATGGCCATTTTTTCTTTCACTAGTTAATGTGTGTGAATGTTCTTATAGGGGTACTATTTTAGCACGTAGCTTTGGCAGTTTATAAGTAACATTTTTGTAGGCTTCCCAAATAAGAGATGTTCTAAACCATGTAAAGAGATAATGAAATAAATGGGAAAGGTGGCCCAGCTCTCCTGCTCTCAATTTAAAGCATCATTTGGCATTAGTTAATAAGCAGAAAATGATAAGCTATAAAATGTAAGATAAATTAGATGGAGTTCTTTTATATGCATACAACGTTTCAACTTATTAAAGACCAAAGCAGATTTGCATATTAATAAGATGGACATACTTGTTAATAGAGAATTAAATCTTGGCTGTTTTGTTTTTTTTTTTTTTTTTTTTAAGATTTGTTTATTTACTAAAATGTGTACAATGTTCTGTCTGCATGTACACCGGCACACCAGAAGAGGGCACCAGATCTCATTATAGGTGGTTGTGAGCCACCATGTGGTTGCTGAGAATTGAACTCAAGACTTCTGAAAGAGCGGACAGTGCTCTTAACCTCTGAGCCAGCTCTCCAGCCCCTTGGCTGACATTTTAATATTGTAAGGCATAGGACATTTAAAATGTTTTTCAGAGTACTTTGAATTATTATTATTATTTTTTTAAATCGGCAGCTCAGATTGTGAGTTTTTTTTTTGTTGTTGGCCCTTCTTTCCATCCTTTCTTTCTGACAAGGTCTGTCAGGCTGTGCTCAGTCTCACTGTGAAGCCAAGTATGACATTAATCTCCTGGACTTCGTGCCTTCTTCCATGTACTGAGATTACAGGTGTGCCCTGTACTCTGAGCTTCTTCCCATCTTTCTCTTCTGTTTTGGCCAAACAGCAATTTTAAATAATCGAATATTTAATACAGTATAATCCAAAGGTAAAATTATTTGATATTTGATGCTGAGGGCATTAAATCTTTTTTCCCCATAACAGAACCATTATGTCTCTCTAAGAGCAAAAACCTTGGTACAATAAGGACATTGCAGTTCATCACATGTAATGGTCTCTGAGCCACTCTGAGGCAGAATGCCTCACAGCTGACAGACAATAAGTGTATTTCAGAACTGCACCTGCTCAGAACCAAGGCTGCAGCAAAGATTCATGGTGTGGCCTAGCAGGCACTGCCAAAAGCAACGGCAATTTGTTTTGAATCTGATTTGTGATTATCAAGCACTGCACTTTCAAGAACCCTTCAGAATTACTGAATTCCTGTGGGCCCTATGCTTGCACACTCTGTGGCCTCTCTGCCCAGCTTAAGAAGCTAGGCTCAGGGCTGGAGAGATGGCTCAGTGGTTAAGAGCACTGTTTGTTCTTCCAAAGGACCGAGGTTCAAGTCCCAGCACCCACATGGCAACTCACAACTGTCTGTAACTCCAATTCAAGGGATCTGACACCTTTGCACTAATGCACATAAAACAAAATTAAATAAATTATTAAAAAAAAAAAAAGCAGAAGAAGAAGAAGCTAGGCTCCAGGACGCGCGGACTGCGTGGAAGTTATTCCTAATTGCTTCTTTCCCCCGTGTTGCCTGTTCTTTGCATAGGAGAAGTATTTGAAATTGAGGAGCACATCAGTGAGCGGCAGGCTGAAGTCTTGGCAGAGTTTGAAAGAAGAAAGCGAGCTCGGCAAATCAATGTTTCCACGGATGATTCGGAGGTCAAAGCTTCCCTCAGAACCTTGGGAGAACCTATTACACTTTTTGGAGAGGGCCCTGCTGAACGAAGAGAAAGGTATCCTTTATGAGAAGTTATATACTTTGTTTCTTTGTTTGTTTGTTAATTACAAGGTTCTAGTTTTATGGATTGTGAAGAAGGTGCCAACTTCCCATCAAACCTTTTCCTGCTCTGGTGTGAAGTTGTTTGTTTGATAGGCTAAGTGTTTTTTTTTGTTTTGTTTTGTTTTAAGATACATTTTAAACTCCACATGTGTCTTTGTGGGAGTGTGCACAGGTGAGTTCAGGTACCCTGGGAGCTGAGAAGAAGGAGTCAGAGCTCCTGGAGCTAGAGTTCCCGGCCATTGTGAGCTACCTGACATGGGTGCTGGGAACTGAACTTGGATCCTCTGGAAGAGCAGGAAACACTCTTTAACCTCTGAACCATCATTTCTGGCTCTGGCACACAAGGTTTTTGTTTGTTTCTCTCTCTTACCTCTGAGAGTTGTTTTATTTTGTTTGAGCATAAGTGCCACTTGGTCATAGAAGCCTTTCTCCTATGGAGTAAGCCTCTCGTTATTTTGTGTCAACACCTTTTTAAAGGATACATTTTAAATGTGTGCATGTGTATGTGTGTGTAGAACATGTATGTGCCTCCACACAGTTACGGGGACCATAGAACAACTTAACTTGTGAGAGTTGGTTCTCTCTCACCGTGTGTCCCAAGGATCTATAGATCTCAAGTCAGCAGGTTTGAGCCATGTCACCAAGCCTGACTCGGGCTATATTTACTGTTTCTCTCTTTCACCTGCCAGGTCTATTGTACTTCATTATTATGTTCCTTAGGTGAATGCCTTAGCTTGAGTCCACCATTGTGGCTTAGGATTGCTGGAACAGTAAAGTCTGGTGTTGTACTTCATTTTTCCTCTCCTGCCTATTGTCATATCATTATTATTGCAAGCCCTTCTTTATAGAGTAAATAGTTCTGGTAACTGGGCCCGACTTGAATCTAGCCCTCCTTCTTTAGTCCATATTCCAGCTCTGCTGAGCCATTTGGAGGGCCTAAGTTCAATCTGTTTTCCCTTACAGTTGAACCCTCCTGCCTCAACTGTTATTTTTCTGTTGTCAATACCTTTTCTGTGAACCCTTCTCTGAGATCTGTCCCACACTCCTGGAAAAGCCTTTTGCTCCATACTTCTTTTACAATCCTGTCACATTCTCTCACCACTGTCTAATTTTGGTGTAATATACTGCTTTCTTTATGGATTCCCTTCAGAAATAGCCTTTAGTTTAGTTTTGTAGTTGTAGTTTTGAAACAGAGTCCTTGACTGTCCTGAAGCTTACCACCATACCTAGCTTGTAATTTTTATTTTATTGAAATGGGATCTCTGTGTATTACCCTGACAGGCCTGGAACTTACTTTGTAGACCAGACTGGCCTTGAACTCAGAGAGATCCACCTGCTTCTGCCTCCAGGCACTGGGATTCAAGGAATGTGCCATCAAGCCTACTTCCTTTGGAACTATTCTTAGTCATTAAATATCCTTAGCCCTTGAATCAGTGCTCTGCACATCATGGCATGAAGTGGATTCCAGCTGTCTTTAGAGCCTAAGGGGCAAGAGTGTATAGGGCAGCAATTACTCTATTCCATGTAGAGTAATTGCTCATAGCTGTTTTAGGGAGCCTTCAAATAAAGACTGTGAAAAAGTTCAGCATGCACACTTGAGTCCAAGAAGACTGGAGGAGTCTGCGAGGTGAAAGAGTAAAGGGTGCTTGTTTTTCCTGCTTTCTTCTCTGTAGTCATCTGATGCCCAAAAATATTGGCTGGGAAAATGCCAGAAGTGATGTGCTGAAATCTCATTCCATCCAGCCCTGCCCCTTTGTCTGCTATGTCCTTGCTGCCTTCCCATTAGTGTGAAGTAGAATAAGATATTTTAAGAGTGAGAAGGAAAACAGACCTTGTTTGTAAACATGTTTACATAATAATTGTAAATATGTTTTGTTGTTAACAAATCTTTTACCTTGCCTAATTTATGAATTAAACTTTTTCAGAAAAATGTGTGAGTTGAGAAACAAACACGGTATGGGTGCCATTGCTCCCTGTAGTTGTAAGCTTTCAGAGATCTTGATGTGTCTTTCCAAGTGGTAATGGGCCTACTGGAGCTTTTAACAAGCTTGTTTTGTCTGTGTTGATTTGTTACAGGTTAAGAAATATCCTCTCAGTGGTTGGGACTGATGCCTTGAAAAAGACGAAGAGAGATGATGAGAGATCTAAGAAGTCAAAAGAGGAGGTAAAACGTGGAGAAATCCAAGACTAGTTCCTTCCAGTGCTTTGCTTTGCTGGCGTGAAAAGAAGAGTCTACAGGCTCTGTCACTTAGGACCAGTTGATGGCAATAATTAGTAATTCTTATATGACTTGGGATGGTCCTCTTAAGTTCTCCATTCAGGAAGGAACTGTGGCATTCTTGGTGTGACTCATTAACAACATTTTGGGGAGATGGCTCAGTGGATAAGAGCACTGGCTGCTTTTCCAGAGGTTCTGAGTTCAATTCCCAGCACATAGTGGCTCACAACCAACCATCTATACTAGAATCTGATGCCCTCTTCTGTTATGGAGGTATACATACAGGTAGAGCATGCACACCTGAAATAAAGAAATAAAATTAAAAAAGAAGAAGAAACCAGAAAATAATTAGGAGGCTGGAGAGCTTGCTCCGCCCTAAGAGTACACACTGCTCTTCAAGAAGAGCCAAGTTCAGTTCCAGCAGCTGAGCAAATCTAGGGCTGTCCTCAGGCCTCCATGGCACCTGCATTCATGTGCGCATCCCCCCACATAGTCGTATAACACATAGTTAAATAACTTATGAAAGAAAACAAAAGGTAGTTAATAGAAACCCGTGTGCCTGCTTTGCTCTGTACTGAGCCAGTCCTTTCTTTGAGCAGTTACAGTTGAGAACAGCTGTTGGAAGAGCAGGCATGTTTCAGACCTAACATTTCTTCTGTTTCCTTTTCAGTATCAGCAAACGTGGTACCATGAAGGGCCAAATAGCCTGAAGGTGGCCAGACTGTGGATTGCTAATTATTCACTCCCAAGGTAAGCAGAAAGAATTCTGCCATCTCAGCCACCAAGGGAAGGCTCTGTGATGGTGACATTTGTTTCATAGGATTGAGAAAGTGCGAGTGTGCAGATTCTTGTAGATAGTTCCTTTAGTGATGATGTTTATGGGTCACAGGGCAATGAAACGCTTGGAGGAGGCCCGTCTCCATAAGGAGATTCCCGAGACAACCAGAACCTCCCAGATGCAGGAGCTGCATAAGTCTCTCCGGGTAAGATGTTCTTTGCTCTTCAGTCTCTTACATTCTTAATGTCTGTTTTGCCCCACCCACAGGAAGGTAAAGGCCTGTGATGTGGGAGGCACCTTCAGCTGTAGTGACAAGATCATTGTGCTCACAGAGGCCAGTGCTTCTGCCTTTGACTACTTCCCTTTGCTTTTTCTCTATGGCTTTTGTTTGGGTTTGGCTTACATAAAAGCTAATGAGACTGTGGTAAGCAAGTGGCATTCCAGATAAGCCTTGATTCCATTCTTTCATCAACATTAGTGTCTTCTATCAAGAGCGGGCGTAAAACAAGTCTTGGGGTGGGTTGAGCTGAAAGGTGGTTACCACCTCCTTCTCTCCCATCCTCCTACCCCCTTTTTTTCCCCCAAAGTCAAAAAGCCAAAGAACTCTTAGATTGACCTTTAATAAATGATCACCTTTTTTTGTTTCTGTTTTCCTTTTAGTCTTTGAATAATTTCTGCAGTCAGATTGGAGATGATCGGCCAATCTCTTACTGTCACTTTAGTCCCAACTCCAAAATGCTAGCCACGGCTTGTTGGTAAGTTTCATTTTACAATAGCAATTTCCTAAGCGGGGCATTAGTTCAGGAAGGAAAAATACCTTTGTCTCAGATGTTTCCCTCTTCATTCGCCTCTCACAAGCAGGTGCACAGCTCTGCCTGCTTATCTCCTGCTAACCAGTCATGGTCCCCAGAGGTCCATGACACATCTATTAGGTTCTTCCACTGGTGTCTGGAGTAGTTCACATGGGAACTTTATAGACCAAGTAGTTTTCATGCCTAAGTCAGCTTTTCTTTCTTAGTTCTATGGTCTCGGTGAGGTAGGCAGTCTTTGGAAGGTTTGGGGCACTTATCTGTACCATTGGTAAAGTAGCTAACATTTGTCAACCATTTGGCAAGAGCCTGGTAAATGTTAATTAATCTTATCTTTGTCTTGCACAGATTACCACATACACAAGAAACTCAAAATGTGTGATCACTTTGGTTTTAGGGTGCCTGGTGTGTGTGGCTTTGTGTGTGTGTGTGGTGTGTATGTATATGTACATATGGGCGCAGTTGAAAATGTGTGTGCATGTGGCGGCTAGAGGCCGGTGTTGGATGCCATCTTTCTTTCCGATTGCTCTTCCCGATTTGTGAAACAGGGTCTCTTACTGAACCTGAAGTTAATCAGTTCTCTTAACTGCCTGGCCCATGAACCCCAGGGATCTGTCTGTTGTCCCTGTTATGGACATGTATATCCAACTTTTACATGGGTTCTGGGAATCTGGGCTTAAATTCTCATGTTTGCAGAGCAAGCACTTTATTGAGTATGTAAACCATTTCCTGAGCCCCATTTTATTTTACTTTTGCCTTTTTTTCTGGATCAAGGCTGTTTAATGAAAGAGAAAACAGCATTGACCACAGAGAAATTACTTCAGAAGGCAGAAAATGAAGCTGTGCTTCATGAGAAAGCTAAAGGCTAAAGTATTTGGTAGATGGGAAAATGCTGCTCAGATTTCAGGTCCTGTCATTAATGATCCAGTTTAATTTGTTCTCCCTTCCCTTGCAAGTTGACCTGGGCATTAAGAGTAGCAGCTTGTATTCCGTGATAGTCTAGAAGAGGACTGAGAGCTGTTGTAGCTCTTTCTTCAACAAGCCATGACTTTTTCTCATGGCCACTGTTAAGTGTATAGGGGCAAGACAGCATTGTCCTTTAGTAATGTACGAAGATGCCTTTCCCTTCCCAGACCAGCCCTGGCTGAGTTGCTTTCCTTTGTGCTTGATAGGAGTGGACTCTGCAAGCTCTGGTCTGTCCCCGACTGCAGTCTCCTTCATACTCTCCGAGGTGAGTTACAATCTTGTCGGGGAGTTATTGTTCTTTTCCCAGCAAACCGTTGAGCAGCAGAGCTCCGGTTGACACTCAGAGACCACACACAGCCTTGCCTCTGCTTATGTGGACGTGCTCATGGACTCTACATACATACGTAAGTGCTGTCAGAGACCGGATGAAAGTGTCTGCTCTCCTGGAGCTGGACTTAAAGGCAGTTGTGAGCCACCTAATATGGGTTGTGAGAACCAAACTCAGGTCTCTGCAAAAGCAGTAGACCCTTTAACTGATGAGCCATCTTTCTAGCTCGTGCATTTTTACTTGAGTGGATGTGTGGTCTTATATCTCCACAACACCAGAATATCAAGACTTCACATTCGTGCTGTGCCGTCTGTCCTCCTCTCCAGCCACACTCTGGCCTCTACAGCATCTAAAGTAAAAGACACAAAGCTTTTGTGGTTTACACTTTTGATTTGGCTTAGTCTTTTGAGAATGAAGTCTTGCTCTTTTCCAGGCTTGCCTCCAATTCAGTGTCTTCCTGCCTCAGCCTCCTGAGTGCTGGGTATAGTGCACTAGGCCAGTTTCTGCCCCTTTTCTCTCCTAAATTTTACATATATATATATTGTTTAAAACAATTCTTTTGGAGGCTGGAGAGATAGGTCAGTAGCTAAAAACATGTGCTGCTCTTAGAGACAACCTGAGTTGAGTTTAGCACCACATCAGGTAGCTCACAGCTGTCTGTAATTCTGGCTCCAGGGGGTCCTGTGACCTTCATAGGCACCTGACTCCTGTGCACGTGCTCACACAAATACACAGAATTTAAAAAGAAATCTTAAAAAATACATAAATAGCTGGCGATGGTGGCACACACCTTTAATTCCAACACTCAGGCAATGATGGGTAGATCGTTATAAATTCCAGGTCAACACGGTCTTCATAGCAAGTTCAGGTCACCCAAGACTACAGAATCTCTTTTTTTAGTAGTTGAATAGTCACTTCAATACTGTCTGTTCACATTCCCTAAAAGGTACTTTCCAGATTGTTTACAGTAGTCTCTGTTTGCCTATAGGTTACAAACAGGTAAGAGCCCTTTAATTTTGTTCGCCTATATTTCTTTAGGTCATAACACAAATGTGGGAGCAATTGTATTCCATCCCAAATCCACTGTCTCATTGGACCAAAAAGATGTCAACTTGGCCTCTTGTGCAGCTGATGGTTCTGTGAAGCTTTGGAGTCTTGACAGGTGACTATTGCCATTTTGCAGTTAATACTGCCATCCCTAAAGCTGATAGGCAGTTGGCTGGCTCTTCAGGCTTAAAAATGTGGCGTTTAACATCAGACATGCTCCACGAGTCTAGGGAACTCAGTGAAAGTAGATGTCCTTCTTAGATCTTTTTTTCTCCAAAGAAGGTGTGCTAGGGTTTTTTTCTTTTCCTTGCTGACTTAGAGCCTCAGTTCTTGCCTTTAGCCTAATAGTAGCCGATTCCCAGCTGCCTTTATTCTAAAACAATCCAGTTTAACTTACATGGTAGGTTAGCATTAGAGAAATGCATTGTTTTGTAGATAGACTAAAGATGATCATCTTGGTGGCCTCTTGGGTCTTAGCACACAGCCACAGAAGAGAGGGAAGTGAGGTTCTGTGTGGCAGTCCAGGCCACTGGTGTCATCTCTGCCTGGGATGTATTTCCTAACTATCTCGCATTTTACTTCTTTGTGCAGGTGTTAGTACTAGTCCGATCAAAATTTTGGAAGTATATGGTGATCTAAAAGACATTTGAATGCTCGTTTTCCTTTCCTAGAGAAAGCATAGGAAGGTTTTCATTCCAGATTTTTCCAAAAGCACTAATTAGCATCCGCAGTCTTTGCCAGATAGGGTCTCAGCTACTAGCACAGCAAGTTTTAATTGGCTTTTGTAATACTTAGCAATGCTTATCCCCATAGGACATGGGTTGGGTCTGTGTGTGCTCACTGACAGTGTTCCCTTCTAATTGCCCTCTTTAGGCTCATGTTTATTTCCTCTCTGGTGTTTCAGTCTTTCTGTTGTTGCTAGGTAACAGAAATTAATGGCAGTCCAGAGGACTCTGAGTCACTCTAGCCTAGGATTCTTTTTTCCATTTAGGTCTTTGAACAGGCTAAGAAAGATTTTCTGGAACCCACTTGGACTGATTTCTGTATCTATACCTCTACCAAAGTATATTCTTTTTTGAATCCTCTGTTTTGATACAGTGAAACTATTTTGCTCATCAGTCTTAAGAACTTCTCTCTTGGGGCTGGAAAGTTGGCTCAGAGGTTAAGAGCACTGGCTGCTCTTACAGAGGTCCTGAGTTCAATTCCCAGCAACCACATGGTGGCTCACAACTATCTATAATGAGATCTGATGCCCTCTTGTGCACATAGGCATGCATACAGACAGAACATTTATACATAATAAATAAATGAATCTTTAAAAAAAAAAAAAAGAAAAGAACTTCCCTTACTCTTAGATGGAGAATTTGTAGACACACCAAATTGAGGTAGTGGTCACTTTGCCCAGTGGTCACAGAAATAAACCTCCCTTTTACAAAACTGTAGCAAGTAGCTTAAACTATTGCTCTCCCTTCACACAAAAAGTTACTAGTTAGCATGAAGCCTTGTGCAGAGTGCTGTCAGCTGCCTGAGCTGCTTGTGTAGTGAGTACATGGTCACTCAAACTACAGAGTGGGTATGTCTACAGCAGCAAGTAAACTCAGTGGGCGTCTGCGTGGCTGTCAGGATGTTTTAATCCCTGTATGTGTTCGGTTCCCTTCAGCGATGAACCAGTGGCAGATATTGAAGGCCATACAGTGCGAGTGGCTCGGGTAATGTGGCATCCTTCAGGGCGTTTCCTGGGCACAACCTGGTAAGTCAGTCATCTGATACTGTCCAGTTTTTACAAGCCTTTTGGTCTGGTAATCCTTTTCAGTTATCTGCCAAGTAAATTTTTAGGCAGGAGGATCTCTGTGAGTTCAGGACAGCCAAGGCTACACAGAGAAACCCAGTCTTGAAAAACAAACAAATCATTGAATAAAATTTCTCTGTGCCAAAATGTTGGCTTCTTTTTCTTATTGTGTAAGTTTAGTGAGGCTTAGTTCTACTAAAATCTTTTTCCTTCAGGTTTAAGCAACATACAATGGAATGGGATTGTTTTATAGTACAATGAGATTGTTTTGTTGTACAATTCAACCTTGACAAGTATATACTGCTTGTGACCCACACCCTGATCAGAATAGATGTTTCTGCCACCCAACAAAGTTCTCTCCCAGTACTTCGTAATCTCCCCTTCCAAGTAACCTCTGACTTGATTTCTGTTCATTCTGCCTATTTGTACCCGTTCACGTTGTTAAGCTGAGCTGTAGTCTGTTGTGTCTATCCCCCAGTTTATGCATTCTTCTGTTGATGAACACATGGGCATGTTTCTAGGTTGTGGCTAGTCAAGAGAAAAATACTCTAAATATCCTTTTTTATGTAAATGGGTGTTTTGCCAACATGCATGTCTGTGTTCCTCATGTGCCTTGTGCCCACAGAGGCCAAAAAAGGGCATCAGACCCCCTAGAATTCGAGTTACATATGGTTGTGAGCTGCCAGGGTGCTGGGAATCAGACTTGATCCTCTGGAAGAAAATCCCGTACTCTTAACCTCTGAGCCATCTCTTCAGCTAAGAATAGTCTCTTTGAAGCTTTTTGTAGATACATGTTTTTTATTTTCCTTTTACTTGGGTAAATGCCTAGGAGTACAGTTACTAGTTCATAGAATAGATGTATGTTTAGCTTTTTTAAAACATTCAGGCAAGCTGGGTTCAGTGCCACGTGCTTACATAAATGCCATCATTCAGCAGGAAGATCTCTAGTTTGAGGCCAGCCTGGGCTTCATAGTGGAACCCTGTTCCCTAGAATAAAATATATATATATACATATATATATATACATATATATATATGTATGTATATATATAAAATTAAATATATATTTATGTATAAATAAAATATATAATATAAAATATATATATTTAATCTTATAAACAGGTAGGTTCTGCCTGCTTTGTTTGGTGGCTTTGTCCGTGTTTGCTGCTGTCAGTGTCTCTGTTCTGCCCACTGTGGCTAGAACATGGTAACACCTTACATTAGTGTTGCTGCCCTGCTGACTGTTGCTGTTGAATGGTCTTACCACATGCTTACACAGCTTGTGCATATCTTCTTTGGTTTAAGATGTCTGTTAAAATTGCTTTAGCACCCTTAGTAAAAACGTTCTGATTATATATATTTGGGTCTGTTTCTGTATCTGCTCTGTTTGTCTATTTGTTCATCTGGATTTTTTTTTTTAATGTCAACATCCTATTGAGACTCCAGTAAACATATGCTTGATGAATGATGCTTGATGAATGAAGGGGGAAATAAGGAGCATAAGCTGAACTATGGTCACTTAGAGTACCTTATCATAGTAGCCACTGGATCAGTCTGCTGCTCGATTGTTGGCATAATTTTATTGCATTTATTTTAAGTTATGACCGCTCGTGGCGCTTATGGGATTTAGAGGCTCAAGAGGAGATCCTACATCAGGAAGGCCACAGCATGGGTGTGTATGACATTGCCTTCCATCAAGATGGCTCTTTGGCTGGCACTGGGTAAGACTTCCTCTACAAAGTAAGGGGCGGGCAGCTCAGTAGTCTCACCTCTTAGGCATCCCTGCTTTCATGTCAAATTGGATTTGGTATACTCACATATTTGTTGTTTCATCAGGGGACTGGATGCATTTGGTCGAGTTTGGGACCTACGCACAGGACGTTGCATTATGTTTCTAGAAGGCCACCTGAAGGAAATCTATGGGATAAATTTCTCCCCCAATGGGTAAGGCACACTCTGAACGGGAAGGGTCCTAGTCAGCCAGTACTGTTTCTGACTGTGACACTTGTGACCCACAGCTACCACATTGCAACTGGCAGTGGCGACAACACCTGCAAGGTGTGGGACCTTCGACAGCGGCGCTGTGTCTACACCATCCCCGCCCACCAGAACTTAGTGACTGGTGTCAAGTTTGAGCGTAAGCTTTTCGCTAGTTTTGGCCTTAAAACCAGACACCCTTTGCTTCATGGAGTACATGCTAGCTGTTAGACTAAATTAGACATGGAACCTATGTTAAAAAAAGCAAGGTTCAGTTTCCTTCCCTCTGCCATACCTGTAGACAAAGCTGTGCCAATGCATGCTTCTTGAGGCAGAGAGTTGTATGAAGGCAGTTTCAGTTTGTCCTTCATGCATGATCAGGCACTAGATGCTTGCTGTTACTGAACAGATTGTCTATCAGGGAAAGAGGCACACTGCCGTCATACCATTACTTGGTTGTCTTCGGTCTGCTCATGACTGCCCCTTATCTTGGAAGCCCTCTGGAAACGTAGAATCCATGTGTTCTTTCAAAATAGTGTGTTCTGGCAGATGTTTGTGGTTTCTTTCTTAAGCTCTTTCTCAATACTTGAATTCTCTATGTTTGCTTTGTACCCTGCAGCTATCCATGGAGACTTCCTGCTCACAGGTGCCTATGACAACACAGCCAAGATATGGACCCACCCAGGCTGGTCCCCACTGAAGACTTTGGCTGGTCATGAGGGCAAAGTGATGGGCCTAGACATTTCTTCAGATGGGCAACTCATAGCCACTTGCTCATATGACAGGACCTTCAAGCTCTGGATGGCAGAGTAGGCCAGACCATGGGAGGACTTGGACCTTGTGTTCTCACTGAGGAGCCATTTTTCTCAAAGGAAAAGAACTGTGTTGTGTTCTATCATGTTTTCTGCCAAATACCATGTATAGGATTGGATTTTCACATCAGCCCCACTTCTGAGTAACCCAGTCTCTAGGTGATGGCAAACCTTTCATGGTTAGAACGCAATTCTCGTCTCAGGTTCTGCCGAAAACTGTGTAGACATTATTTAGACTCAACACTTTTGAATGCCCTTCCGCTTCCCTTAGCACTCAGGATTGTGACTGTTCTTTCATTTTTATTTTTTTCTTATTTGACATTTTGAGACAGGGTCTGCTTATGTAGCCCTGACTGTCCTGGAACTTGGTGTATATGTCAGGAAGTCTCACATCGTCAGTGATCCTCCTGCCTCTGCCTTTCAAGTGATGGCGTTACAGAAGTGTGTTGCTGTGCCTGGCAGTTGCATTTTTAATGTTTGAACTTGGGTCTTTATAACATGATGTGTGCTCTGGACTACATGTGATCCAGCAAGCAAGATAGCTGGACTGTATCTGAAATGTCCCCAGTTATAAGGCCTTGTCACTGGCATTGGTGAGCAGTACCTGATGGCAAGCTCCTCTCCTGCCCAAGAGACGAGCGGTAGACTGTGGCTCAGCAGTGAAGATTTCCCTCTTGGCATGGCACCCACAGAGGATGCTAACTTCATCGGGGAACTCAGAACTGAGCACTTGGCCTTCTTAGGGAGCACCTCTGAAGTTCGGCATCCTTCCTGGTAGAGCAAAACATTGTATCCAGATTCAAAGGAGTTTTTAGAAAACAAACCTGATGTCTGTGTTGTACAGCCTCCTTCCTGTTGGTTATTTAAAGGGTGTACTCTATGTATTAAAGGATGCTTCATGTCAAAGTAACTGGAAAAAATCCTAATTTATGTTTGGGTGTTCCCAAACATAAACTTTTTTTTTTTTTTTTTAATATACTTCCTGAGAGTAAAATCCTGCCATGAAAACTAGCTTTCAAAGGATTGTTTCTAGTTCAGCATTTTATGAACCTGACCATTACTCCAAAGAGCCTCCCTTTAGTTTTGAGATCTAATGTCATTCTCTGCATGAATTGTTCTAATCTCTGTCACTCTATCCACAGATGTGTATAGTTTTTGTTGGTTTGTTTTTGGTTTTTTTGAGGAAGGGTTTTTGTTTTTTGAAATGGGATCTTGCTATGTTGCTCAGATTGGCCTCAGGCTCGTAATCCTCCTGCCTCTGCATCTTGGCTTCTGTAGCTTGCACATCTAGGCAGTAGCAGTTTTTTTTTTAATGGATTTGTTGGGCTAAGAGACCGGGCTACCAGAGGTGTGTCTGGGCTCCACAATTCTTCCTCATCAGTCATGTGAATATCTTCACCTGCGCACTACAGGTATCCATCCTCGAAACTCCAAAATTGCACAGTAAATCCACACAAAACAGTAATTTCAAACTCAGTTCTGTATAGAGTAAAACTAGCATGAACTGGAAGCATCTAGTATTCAGATTTTAAACTCTGCCAGCTTCCTGTTCTTCCCTGCCTGTCTACAGGTTATAAATAGGTGGTATATACTAAAACATGCATTTTTGTTGGTGGTGGTTTAGGTTTGGTTTTTGGATTTTTGAGATGGTTTCACTGTGTGTGTTGGTCATCCTGGAACTCTGTAGACCAGGCTAGCCTCAAACTCACAGGGATAACATGATCAGGCACTAGGTGCTTGATGTTACTGAACAGGTTGTCCATCAGGGAAAAAGGCACACAGCCTTCATACCACAATAAGTACCGTTGTCTTGACTTCTTGTGGTGTCTGTAAAATGATGGCACTGCTGTAGTGCCCTGTAGCCAGGCTCTAGCGCACCAACAGGTTTTGGTTTCTAGAAGTCGCTTAGTAGGGACTTAACAATTTTTGTTTGATTCAAGAGAGTTTTTGAGTTGGAAACGTTCCAAGTAAGCCATTTCTTCTGCCATTGTAAGAAAATGGTTAGTGGCTTCCAAATGACAGAGCCACTATTACTTAACCCTCCCTAGCTGGTGCTCAGGCATGTTAAGACAGCTCATTCTTTAAGATTGCTGCAGTGAGACCATGTAAGCCCATGTGAAGTGATTTCACAGTGTTTTATGGAGAATGTGGGCCACACTGACAAGGACAGCACATGTGGCTGATGTTTTCCATCTTTCTGCCTGTAGATCCCATGGACAATCATTCCTCTCTGAGGTCATGAAAAATGGAATATGCCCACTCCTGTCTTGACATGGAGCCTGTTGCTGCTGCTCAGCAGAATAGTATCTTAGCGTGGGTGATGCTGTCTGTTGTAGAGGCTCATAAGCACAGCAGCAGGTCTCTGTCCCTGGGAACACAGGGAAGGTGCTCCCAGGTGTTCCTAGTTGCCCTGTGGGTGAGTGAAACTGCTTCTTAGTTTTACTTCAGAAACTTCAAAACAGTCCCCAGCACTGTTTTGTGCCATTAAACCTTCAGGACATAGGACCCAACTGGTAAAAATAGGTCACCACTGAAAGTTTCTAGCCCAGCTTCTATTTCCAGCGGCTCCCTGACTTCCTGATGCGCTGTGATGTGAGCATCTACCACACGCTTCCTCCCCATACTCTGTACCCTCTGAAACCATGAGCCCAAGTCAACCTCCCCTGGAGTTGTCTCTACAGGTATTGTGGTCACAGTGACAGAGAAGTGACTAACTGTCCCAAGGTTAGAACTAACAAACACAAAATAGAAGCTAACATCCTAATCCCATCTCAAAAACAAAACAACAAACTTGCTGGTTTGGGTACCTCAGAACGTGTATTCTTATGGGAAGGACTCCAACACGATAGCTGGATAACACCTGGGCAGAGCCTTTCCATTCCAACGAAGCTTCCTTGGACCAGGGCTCTGAAGGAGGGGAAATCTTCCTTGGGCATTTGCCTGTACTTCCCTCTTAGCTCAGAGAATATGGTGAGATGGCTGCCTAACTTGCTTAACTTACTTTCCACAAAGTTAAGAGGCAAAAATGTGTAAAGAAATGAAGTTGGTGGGGCTTGCAAGGCTCACCATCAGTACAGTTACCTGATGGGGTCAACGGTGCTAGTCTCGGGAGGAACACGTAGATGCCTTCCAATTTAGTTATGGAGAACTTTCCTCCGTGATGGAGGGTAACACTATCTGGTTTTACTAACTCAAAATACAGTTTCTATCTTAACCATTTTATAATATTTTCTACCTTTAGACCCTTAAGAAAGTTATAAGTAAATGATACTTTTGTGAAAATATTATTTAGAGCAAATACACCCGACTCAAGTTCTAATCTCTGACAGCTTTTTCTAGAAATTAAAAAAAAAAAAAGTAACATGTCTTTTTTTGATTGTGTTGAGGACACGAGGATTGCTTCAAAGTCTAGACCCAGAAGGACATGCTCAAACCATAGAAGCAGCACTCACGTTGCGCTGTGTCCAGCAGCAGCTGGACTTTTTAGGTACTTGATTCCTGGGTTCTGTCACATGAATCGAAAGCCAGGGTCGCTCCCTGCTCCCCACTACACTCAAGGTGATGCAGCTGAGGCATCACCTCTGCCCAGATGTCCACCTCTCTGAGGCCAGAGTTAATGGTCCTGAGCTCAGCTCCATCTGCCCTGTGGGTGCTGACAAGGAGTATAAAGGCCTTTGCCTCAGACCCCAGGTTCTTCAGAGTTATCCTGGCTTCCTTCACCTTCAGATTCATTTTCTTTGCACTCCATGCTGAACAAGGCCCCTTGCACACCCTCCCTTCCCCTTAGGGCCTCCTGCCACCCCTGGGTTATTCTATCTGACAGATAAATGGTTGTGGAAGGAAGAAATCAATGAATTAAAGAATGCAGGCTTGTTTTACTGGAAATGGTGGCAAGAATGAGAAAACTGAAAGGGGAGACAAGCACATTAGCACAGAGAATTGAAACACTTCCCAGAATTGTCAGCAACACACGAACAGCTCAGTGAAAGATGCTACAAGCTATCTCATCTAGTTGGCTGTCTGGACAGTGCCGTCCAGCCCTTTGGCACAGTTTGCTGTGTGACCATGTGGCCGCAGAACTGCTTCTCTACCCCTGATTGTGACCCCATAGTTCATAATCAGTGCTCTGGCCCTTCAGTTCTTTATTTCCTGTCAGGCCATCCCTGTTCTCCAAAGCAGACACATGACCTAACAGATCCCTGGGCTGCAAAACGGGCAACATTACAAAGAAGACAACACGAAAGGCGGTTCTGTAGTCCCCACTCCAGCAACCACTGAGAAAGGCCCATTCCTTGTCCTGGAACACGGAGAGCTCACCCCATGCCCCAAAAGAACTGCTTAGTCCAAAAGATGGAGAAGATGAGCAGCAGGGTGACACTGAGGATGACAGCCATCAGGTAGGCAAAGATGCGGAAGTGAGGGTTTCGGACACACTCTCTGAGAGAGTAGTGGCTGGGGATGGACACAGGCCTGGTGTCAGGGGCTGTGTCCTGAGGAGGGCCAGTCTGGCTCCCAGGCTCAGGGTCAAGATCCAAGGTGTAGACCCGAGGCTGACGCAGGAAGTAGCGACTCTTGGGCTGGTCCTTGAGACAGAGCTGGTGGCCCTCGAGGATGACATGGTGAGGCTCTAGGCGGAGAAGGGTCAGCATGGCAGTGTCTGTAGGTAAATCGGTGACTGGCTGCCCTGAAGCCAGAACGGTGGGCTGACGGCAAAGTGGGCAGAGCAGGCGGCGCCTGGCCGGCGTCACCAGGCTGAGGTGGGCCACGCATTCCACGCAGAAGGAGTGACAGCAGTCTAGCACTTTGGGGGTGTGGAACGTGTTGTTGAAGGGGCTCCAGCAGACAGGACACTCGGGTATGAGCTCCGGGCCCTGTGGCTCGGTCATCCTCGGATCGCATGCAGGGAGCCTCTCGGCAGACGTCCTGGTAAAGGAAAGAAAGCGTAAAGCGCGCCCGTGGGGCTCTGTCCCTGGGCTTGGTCTGCAGCCCTCAGCACTGAGAGGACAGAAACTTCCCATCCGCATTTCACAGGTGGAGGAATGTGTGTCTAAGAGCATTTTGTCCAAGAGCACCCAGTCCTGGGTCACAGACTTAAGTCTGAAGCTATCCCGCTGCTCATTGCCCAGGATAAAGGACTGAGCCACCCTCTGGGTCACCCTCCCATAGGGGGGACTGGGGCGCTGGAGACTGCTAAAATGCCGACTCTCTTCCCTGAATTTGCTCTAGGTGCCTTGGCTCTGTGGAGCAAGAGAGAACTACATATTTGGTGGGTTTTGCTAAGGGCCAGGTGCTTCCTTCCCTGCTCTCAAATCCCTGACTGGAACAGAGATAGTCTGTCCATCCTCTGGGGACAAACACCAGCCCCCTTTCTGCTCCTTCCTTTGGGCCAGTGGCCAACTCCTCACAGCCAACTGACCAGTCTAGAGAAAACTCCCCTGCTCGGGCCCCCAGAGCAGCTGTGTGTGTCTCTTCCCAGTTCTTGGCCTCCCCTGGCTCCTCCTCACGCTCTCTCCCAGCACCCACCTGGGCTTCTGTGCACGGTAGGAGGGGAATCCGGAGAGACCACTCCAAAGGGTCTGAGTTCCCCAGCTCTCCCTCTCCTGAACCCGCCTAGCTTTGGAAATCTGCTGCCTTGCCACCAACCCTGGGGCCGTTTCCATGACAGCATGCTCAGAGCACCTGGAGCGCCAGGTGGCCCTGGCTGCAGCCTCAGCACCTGCATGGAGTCAAGGCCAATCGGTGCCCAGGAGACCCAAATGAGACTCACAGGAGCACGGCGGACAGACAGACAGACCTACACACTCAAACTCTCCCTCATACACGCGGTGTAGCAACTGAGTGTGAAGCAGATACAGGTCTGAGGGTGGCTCCTTTCATACCCGGAATCCCTGCACTGGAAAGGTAAGGGTAACAGTTTCCCCTTTCTAGATCACCATGAGGACAAGTCTTCTGGGTTCCTTCTCTCTTGGGCCCTCGTTTCTTTTCTAAACCGCTGGAGCCTCCTCCTTGCGCAGAGGAGCTGGCTGCCATGTGCTCGGCTTGCTGCATACCCCTAAAGATGTGACTGTTAAACTTCCCAGAGCCTCTTCCTCCCCTCCTTTTTAACTAGGTAGCTGCAACAAAAGTAGGCAAACCTTTAGGACAGGGACAGTCAACGGTCCCAAAGAGGGCCGTTCTACCGACCTTGGAGAGGAGCGTTCAAGCCCTGCTTCCCCATTCCAAGCAGAAACACTTTGACTTTCATCTCTTACTCATGTTGGTCATTTCAATTAGAGGAGTTAAGTTGTTGGGGCCAGAGGGTGTTTAAGAAAGCTACTTCTCCTTCAAAGCCATTCACATGGAAATGAGAAGTGATTCTAGCCAGCCACAATGACACCGGGACACGCGGCTTTGGATTCCTAGTCCACCACATGCTGTAGCCACAAACACAGAAGCTGCAGTCATTCACTCCACTTTGCAGGATGTGTGGAAGGAGCTGAGCAGGTGCCCTGTTTCCTCCGGATTCCTCACGTCAATTAAGACTCCAGGGAGGAAGCTAGGAGCTGTGCATGGGAAGACTTCCTTCGAGATATGATATCTATATCCTGACCAATTTGATGCCTGAAGCAAAACCTGTGTCCTCTTTTACCCAGGCTTCCTGGCTTTAGCTAGACCTCAGTCACTGCTCCGAACATGGACTTAGGAGATTCAGGGAGCAATGGCAGAGCCATAACCAAAACTGGAAGAGCCCCTAGGATGTGGCTGCTGCCTCAGCCATTCTTCCCTTCCTGGTAACTGACTGCTTACCCCATGCCAAGTGCAGTAGCAGGAGCTGAGAGACAAAAGTGAACAAAGTTGATCTTTGATTTCATGACAATCATAGGTAGGCTGCTGAGGCAAAAAATGATGTCTCATGAGTATGTATATATGTATGTATGTACGTTTCACTGTGTAGTTCTGACTGTCCTGGAACTCACTATGTACACCAGGCTGGCCTCAAACACATAGAGATCCACACGCCTCCTCTACCTCCTGAATGCTGGGATTAAGGTTGGGCGCCGCCTCACCCAATGAAATACATGACTAAAGAACAAAAAAGAAAGTGGGCTTGGAGTGGAAGATTTCCCCAAAGAGGTGCTGTGACTGCGAGGCTGAGGCTGAAAATAGTCCCGCTAGGCAGAATGGAGGAAGAGCATGCCAGGCCCAGGGAACAGCTCATCTCAAAGCTCAGAGGTGGCTTTTGCCGGTGTGATAGGGGAAAGGATGGGTTGGCTGAGGGGCTGAGTCCAAAGTGCTCAGAGTGAAGGCAGGAGGCTAAATCTCTAAATTCCCAAACTCATTTGAGATTCATTGATGGGATATACCTAATCCTTGACTTGTTTTCATTTTTATTTGGAGGTTTCTTTAAAATTTGAGATAGGGTCTTATGCTACAGCTAAGGCTGCCTTGAACTTGATGTTTGTCCAACTGACCTTGATCTCAATCAGTGGTCCTCTTGCCTCCTGAATCCCAAACGCCGAGATAACAGGTGTGATCCACCTATATATATTCCTATATAGATATAGGGTTCCTATATCTATTGTATCTTTAGTTTAAATTTTTGGTATTGCATGTATGTCTATACACGAAGTGTATGCCTGGTACTCATGAATGCCAGCAGAGGGCATTGGATTCCTCTGAGATTGGAGTTACAAATGGTTATGAGCTTTTGTATGGGTGCCAGGGATTGAATCTGGGTCCTCTGGAAGAGCAGCAAGTGCTCTTATGGAGCCATCTCTCCAGCCTCCTATTGCCATTTTTAAAATGGCCTTCCAGCTACAGTACAGAGGATGGACTGAAAGGGCCAAGAGTGGAAACGAAAGGTCAGTTATAGCTTCAGTGGTTAGCTCAGGTGTGTGACGGCAATGTCGTGTATAGGTCAGGTGAGAGTATAGCTGAAAGAACATAGAACACAATGAATATTTGAAAAATTTTCAGCATCCTTAGCCATCAATAAAAGCTAAATTAATACTGTATCGAGACTGCATCTCACCTAGTCAGACTGGCTATCAAAAACACAAAAAATAGAGCTGGAGAGATGGCTCAGAGGTTAAGAGCACTGGTTGCTCTTCCAGAGGACCCTGGTTCAATTCCCAGCACCCACATGACAGCTCACAACTGTCTATAATTCCAGTTCCAGAGGATCTGACACTCTCACACAGGCATACATGTAGGCAAAACATCAATACACATAAAAAAAATCTTTAAAAACAACAACAACAACATGGGGCAGATATGGCTCAAAGGTTAAGAACACTGGCTGTTCTTCCAGAGGTCCTGAGTTTAATTTCCAGCAACCACATGGTGGCTCATAGCCATCTATAGTGAGATATGGTGCCCTCTTCTGGTGCCTTCTTCTTCAGGCACATATGCAGGCAGAATACTATATAAATTATAAATAAATCTTTAAAACAACAACAAAGAACATCAAATGGTGATAAGGTCTCCATCCAGGTGCTCAGTGAGAAACTTGCCATGAAGCCTGATGACCTGATAAGCTTGTTGTGCTATCTTTGAAGATCTGCTCTTGTTCACCCTAGTTCAGAAGTACACATGGCCACAGCTCTAAATGGATGTTCAGTAAAAAGATGGCAACAGTCTCCTGGGTGCTCCCCCAGGCACCCACTGCACAGGGTTTGGTGTCTCTGGGAGACAGCCAGTGACTTCTGGGCCCCAGCTTCCTGCAGGACAGCTCAGCAACAGCAAATTCTAAACAGCACCCTGCAGTCATCATTAACTAACTTGTCTGTAGCAACACACACAGACACACACATCAGGCATGGAGAACTGGCATCCTGGTGGCATTGGATGGTCTTTCAAGGGTCCTTGCTAGAGGCTGGGTGTGGTAAAACACCTAGAGAACATGCTTGCCTTCTACAAATTGTTGCCATTTTCTGAAGCCATATGATTCTCTAAACCCAGCCTAGAAACAAGCCAGCCTGGGGAGGGAAAAGTCTTCCCAAATTGCAAGGAGATTCTTGCTGATCTGAATCAGTGGCCTCACTTCTCTGAACTCCACTTTGCTCTGTAAAAAAGCCCATGGCCGTCTTTACTGTTGCTGTGAGGAAGGAGCCATGCTTGCATGCCACAGTGAGTAGTCAGTACAGAAGTTAGCATGATCCTGTTAATGCCCATCTGATAGGTGGGGAGACTGGGGCTCTCCATGTAAAGTGACTTGGTTGGGGCCTCAGAGACAGAGTGGCTGAGATTGAAAACTGACCCAGGAGCCTGCCCTCCAGGTCAGAATTCATAGTAAGCAATGCCACCTGTTCCTCCTCCCAGTTCTTACCTGAGAGACCCTTGTCCACTCCTTACCAGCTTTGGCCAGCCTCCTCCTCTCTCAGCACAGCCTTCAAGCAGGTGCTTTGGTTTCTCGATCCTGCACTGGCTTCCAGGTCACTGGGACCAGGCTCATTTGCATGGGACTCCCAGCTCTGATCCATTCTCTGGCTGGTTTCCTTCTTCCCTCCTCAGGCGACTTTGGACCTCTGCACATACGAGAGACCTGAAAATTTGCATCTGTGACTCACTCTTGCTCTCTCTGACTGGCAGGGGGACATGCACTCATCCTTGCAAACTTCTGTTCTGGAAAGGGAGGGGCTTAAACCTTCCTTTTACCCTCAGCTGACCTGTCTGAACTCACTCAGCCTGGCTTTGACGGGAAGGTAGGAGATTCCTGAAGTCAGATATATGGGCACTCTGAGCCCTTGCAATAAAGGCACACTAAGAGCTCTTGCAAAATACAGATAACACAGCAGGGGAATGACGCTTTAATGACAGCTCAGTAAGCATGAACAGGAAGAGCCTGAATTCTTCAACAGGCCAGACATCAGGAATCCAGAGTCAGTGACTTCTGAATACATACTAGCAATGAAGGACTTCACTTCTGCAAGCCTTGGGTTTCCTCGCCTGAAACTGGAGGAAAAAAGACACCTACCTGGGTGGGAGGTACGAGGAAGACAGCTCAGTGGGAAAGAATACTTGCTACGCAAACTCAATAACCTGATTCAAACTCCAAACAACCTGGGCGTGCCTGCAGCCCCAGCATTGGAGCTGGTGAAGGGTGAGACTGACCAGCCCAGCCCATGCAGCAGGCTTCCGGTGTGAGGAAAGACTGCCTCAAGGAAATAAAGCAGGAACATCTGACATCCTCCTCTGGCTGCCACCTGCAACAAGTGCACAATCGAGTGTGCACACACACGCACACACACACACACACACACAGGTTCAAGTGAAGACTAGAAGTCAGGCTCTGTAATATGCCCTATGGCCTCACCATCTTCTGAAATGGATTTCACATGGCCCATTGTTTTGCTCAGATCTTAAATTTTTAAGTTAAATTTATCTTTAACTGGTGTCATTCTTTGCAGTTCTGGTCCCCTTATTCTTGTACTGTTTTTTCAGTGGCTCTTGAATACACAGAAATAAATGTATACACACACCCACATATGTATCTACATACATATATATGCATGATTGATGCTAAATCAAAGATTCTAGATCCCTTATTTGGACAGGGACATTCATGTGTTTTTGCTTGATTCTGAAGTAAATATTCTCTTTTCCCAGCAATTTAGTTGCATCAAAATTAAAGCACTACACTATATGTCTTTAGTGTATCTTCCAAAGATGTCTTGTGTGCGCACAAGCAAAATGGCTGGCTTCCTTGTTCCTTTTCATCCTGTTATCCAAATGTACAAGTTCTGTAGGCTGTTCTGCATCTCGCTGCAGAGGTCCTTCCTCACTGAGCCTCGCCAGGCCAATCGTTTTCATTTTTATAATGGCTGTGCCATCAATTACTTAACCAGTCCCCAGCAGTCTAATCAACTCAGGCTGGTCTCAAACTCACTATGTTGTCAAGGCTAGCCTCCACCTGATAATCCCCCTGATTCTACCTCCCAAGTGCTGGGACTATGGGCATGTGCCACCACGCCTGACAAAACCCTTTGATTTTAAATATGTAAATGCTGAATGTGGAAATAAATTCAAAAGTTACTACAGATTTTAGGTTGGCCTAGAGCTCTGTGAAACAGAACTACGGACTTTCAGATGTGTTAGGATGTTTTAGACTTTAGGCACTGGAGCGATGGCTCACGTTTAAGAGCATTAGTTGCTTGTCCCAGAGGACCCAGGCTCAATAACCCGCACCCACATGGTGGCTCACAGCCACCTGTAACTCCAGCCTCAGGGGATGCAACACCTTCTCCTGGCCTCTACAGACATGGTGCACAGAAATTCGTGCAAGCAAAACACCCACGAATATAAAAACAAACACAATATAAAGCAGGTCGTGCAGGTAAGAAATCAGTCAGGGCATGGCAAGAAGTGAAGTAAACATAAACTATCTCGGGCCTTTCTCTGGGTCACTAATTGTCCTGTGAGTGGGGCCGTCATCTTGATTTCTGTGGGTGGCCAGGCTAAGAAGTCCTTTGTAAACAGTGGAATTTTTTTTTTTTTTTAAATATGAGAGATACACAGAGGAGGGTGAGGCATCTCAAGAATTTGAGAGTTAAATTGATTTAGTTCATGCTTGGGGGGCCCAGGCCAGCCAGCTGGAAAAGTACCTGGTCTAAGCAGTACCTTGGAGCCTGTGAGCCAAGAGTCATAAGACCGGATGGAGCATGGCCAAGGTGCAGGGCAGGGGCGACGGAGGCATAGCTTTCTGGGAAGGAAAGGGAGGAAGGAAACAAGAGGATAAAACATCACAAACAATGTTGTTCCTGGAGATGAGCTGTTCTATATAATTTTGATAAAAAGAATCAACCCCCAAATCCTCAAGTGTCAGTACTAACAAGAGCCAGTGGAGTCGTACTTACTCCCAGGTAAGCAGAAGGCCGAAAGCAACCCTAAGAAACCACCGGCTTCCCAAGACAGACTCGGCTGGAACCATTTCTCTCTAGTCAGGCATTGGTGTCATATCTGGGGCGTCTTAGCCATGTCCATAAACAACTTGAGGAGGAAAGGGTTTATTTGGCTTATACCTTCATATCACCGAAGGAAGCCAGGACAGGAGGCAGGGGCTGGGAGGGGTGCGGCTCACTGGCTTCTGCTGTGTGCCTTGCTCAGTCCGCTCTCTTACAAAAACCAGAACCGCCAGCACAGGGATGGCGCCCTCAGTGGGCTGGCGCCCTCAGTGGGCTGGCACTCCCCATCAACCACTAACTAAGGAAATCCCGACAGAATTACCTACAGCCTGATCTTATGAAGGCATTTGCTCAATTGAGGCTCCCTCCTTTTCCATAATCCTAGCTTGTGTCAAGTTGACATAAAACCAGCCAGACACATTTGTTCATGTCTCCCCAGGAAAAAAGTCCTACAACACGAAGAAATGTCAGGAGAAAAAGGGTGAATGCTAGCAAACAAATATTCTGTCCAAATAATCTGTAAACAAACAAACAAACAAACAAACAAATAAATAAATAACACAAGTACCCTGAAACAAAGGAGAGAATGTCCTGTAACCAGCTCAGAACAAACCAACAGACTGCTGAGTGAAACAAGAGGGCCCAGCCTTACACAGCGTGAAAAGCCCACGCTGGTACTCGCTGCTGATCTTAGTCCATCTTCGAGAGAAAATGGACCATCCTTGGCATTAAAACCTGTTGCTACAGACCTGGAGAGATGGCTTGGTGATTAAGAGCGCTGCATGCTATTCCAAAGGACCAGAGTTCAATTCTTAGCACCCATGTGGGGGCTCACAGCTGTCTGTCACTCCAGTTCCAAGGGATCTGTCATCCTTACACCAATGCACATGAAACAAAATAAATTTAAAACAAACAAGCAGAAAACCTGTTGATACAAAGCACAACACTCACCTGGAAAGAGTGAGAAGCAATTTACTCTGAGGCAAGTCTGAGTGATCCCAGCCCAGGAGAGGACATCCAGCTGGTCCTGAACGATATGATCTGCCATGGAAGTGGTTACATAAGCTTCTTTGAAAAAGTTTTTATTTATGTGCACACATATGTGTTTGCCCGTGTGAGTTTATGTTCACCGTGTGCATGCAGGAGCTCATGGAAGCCAGAAGAGGTCTTTGGATTTCCTGGAACCAGAGTTACAGGTAGTTCTGAGCCACCATGTGTATGCTGGAAACTAATCCCAAGTCCTCTTCACAAGCAGCAAATGCTCTTAACCCCTGAGCCACCCCCACCATTACACACACACACACACACACACACACACACACACACACACACACACGAGTGCACACCACAAACAGAACAGAAGAAAGCCATAAACCAGCACATTTACTGAATACACAGGTGAGGGCTATGGGTAGGTGGGTACAGCAGAGCAGGAAAAAATTCTCCTATAGGTTTCAGATGTTATCTGATGACATGCCTTGGTTTTTAGTTGGTAGAAACTAGTGGACTCCTAAAAATATGTTTTAAATGTTTATTGTTTGGTCAGATATACAGATGGGTAATGAATGACTAATAAGGAAATTGAAGATAACTCGATAATTTTGACTCTGGGTTAGCAAATTTAAACTTCGCATCAGGAAGTTCTGATTGGTCAATCATCCTTGTAGACACTTTATCTAAGTGTGGCTTTTTCCTCTTCATGTGAATGCTTCCTGTCAGTTTGGAGTTCTGGTCACTACACAGAAGCTAGAATTCCTCTGAAACTTGAGAAGCAAGGACAAATGGCTGTGGTGTCTATTAGCACATCAAAGTACATGCTGGCCTCCAGGCTCCCTTAGAAGAAGCCAGCTCTTCCCCCTCACACTTCTCCAGCTCAGGAGCTTCTGGTCCAGCCCAGCCTCTTGTTGTCCTAACCCCGCTATTTCAGCCATGCTCTTCTTTGCTCGCTCCTCTCTCTTGGGTCTCTCCTCTTTGTCTTTCCTCTCTTGTTCTCTCCTCTCTGCTCTCCTGTCCCAGTCCAGTCTGCTGGCCATAAGCAGTCTCCTACTTTCTCTCTCTGCTCTGCACTCTTCCAGTCACCTCTGGCTGTGCTGTCCCTCCTGTCTACAATGAAAACCTTCTGCTTAACCAGACCAGCCATGACATGGCCAGTCATACTGCTGGGCTATGCACTGGATCCCCACAAAGCCTTGGACAATATTCTACAGCTTATTGTAACTACTAACACCAGAAGAATAAACAACACAACAGCATATGAAGTTTTGCCATGAAATTTAATGGAAAAAAAAAATCTTGATTTCAGAGCATGGGATATGCCCTCACCCTTAAAGGTAAGGGTTTTGGGCTGCTGACTTTGTTATTTTATTTGGCTTACAGGCCGTGTCAATTGAACAAAATTGGAAATACTGGTGCAATTCTATCTGCTAGCCCTTGCCAACCTCAGGCTGATTCAGATAGCAAGCCATTTAGTCCAGCTAATATGGATGCTAACTATCAGAGGTGAGGCTGGAACAGGCCGTAAGTTTTCCTCCCTCCCCCAAGGACAGTGGATATGAGCTCCTGGGCACACCCTGGGCTCTCTCAGGGCTCATGGTGTGTGGCAGAGAATGGGGTCCAGAGGAGCGATGAAGAGTGAGACGCCTCCTAAACATGCCAGATGCCATGGTAGACACTCAGACCTACTGGATGGCATCCTTTTGGAACAGGAGTGTATTGGCCTTATGTTGGCCTTGATGTTGTGTTTCGAATGGAGAGAGCTTATTTTCATTTCACAGGCTGAGAGATGGGACTTTGTACTTGGCAGTTGGTGCCAAAACAAATTAAGACTTTTGGGATAGACTTTGGAACAAGTTAAGATTTGGGATGGAGAGGTTGTATTTTCCATGGTGAGGGAGGCAGGGGTGAAATGCTCTGCTTTAAATATGGCACATCCCTTCTAAAACCATCTTTGCTTTTTGTTTGTGATAGTGCTGAGAGGTGGTGGCGCCATTAAGAGGGGATTTTAGCGTTGGAGGAGTAATGCTTCCTCTGGACAGATTCCTCCTGGAGACTGTGGGCTGTCAGAGCAATCCCTGCTGCCCTCCCTCTTTCCACTACACAT